GTGTGCTGTGGTGCTGGATGGGTGTGAAGGCAGGCATCCAGTTCTGGTGCTGTGGACCACACTGCACCCCAAAAGTGGCCAGCAGCAGGCCCTCCCTTGTGGGAGGCACACAGGTGGTGCTGCTGCTCTCACCTGCATGCACTGTTTCCCAGCTCCCATTGGCTGCCAATTGGCCAATGGGAGTGCAGAGCTGATACTTGGCGTGGGGCAGCATGCAGAGCCCTGTGTGCCTCCCAGCTTGGAGCTGGACCTGCTGCTGTCCACTTCCAGGGCACAATGTGATCTGCAGTATCAGGACTGGCAGGAAGCTGCCTTAGCACCTTAGCACCCTTCTGGTCACCCTACCTATAGCAAGCTGACCAGGTGTCTGACATTCCATGACCTGGTACTAGGTTATAAACCATTCTTTGACCTCCTGGTCACCCTACCTATAGCAAGGTGACCAGGTGTCTGACATTCCATGACCTGGTACTAGGTTATAAACCATTCTTTGAAAACCACTGCCCTGGGCTATATAGAATCGCATGCATGTCTCCATTACCTATGATGACCCATTAGTGTGAAGGGTACTCCCCTGTTCAGCTGCTGTACCCTGTAAAGGGAACAAAGTAGAAATGATAACAAAGGAACTGAGGAGGTGGAAGGATGTTCCCAAAAATCAATTGACATGGAGCCTCTGGCTAGCACTGTTACAGCAACTTCGTCATTTCTGATACCTTTTGTGTGCTCAAATTTAAAAAGAGAAGCTGCCTGAATCTTCCACATGAGTACGAAACCTAATACCTTTCCTATGGAACACCAAGCCTAGGCTAGCTATGTTAACACTAACCTGTCCTGTTTTAGAGACTTGGGATATGTCAGATGAGGAGACTTGGGATATGTCAGATGAGGATATGTCCGAAGGGGTTGACAGTGCCACACTTCATTAAGCAAAAGTAAATACAGCCATGCTGTCCCAAATAGGGATGTTAGATATTGTGTAATTGAATAGTCGTGTAATGGCACAAATGTTGTCGGTTATGTGACTATTTAATAGTCCCCAGGGGTGGGGCCACCACTCCTGGTGATTCCCCTGCCACTCCCACACTGCTGCCTCTGTATCAGAAGCAGCAGTGGGAGGAGGGCAGGTGGCTCTGCGGAGCTGGTCCATGAGGAGAGCCGGCCCATGCATATTAGTTCCTGCCTGTTTTCCCCCATCGGAGGCAGCAGTACTGCGGGGAGGGGGAAGGTGGCTCTGCAGATCTGGTGCTCGTGGGTAGACTGTTTTCTAGCCAGCCCCCCATGGCACTGGTTCCTGCTCTCTTCCTCGCTGTGGGGAGGGGGGAGATGCGTGTAGTTAAGCTTAATCCATAAACCGAGGTTTATCGGTTAATCATGTACTTGACTACACATTGACCCTAACCCTAGTCCCAAAAAGCAAAACTAGCAAGTAACTTAGTAGCTAGGGTTTGCCTTGTATTTATTGTTTTCCACATGCTCTCTCTGTTGCTTATCCTCTAATGTAACTTAATGCTTCATTCTGACCATAAACCCCAATATATGTTACCTTGGCCATTCTTAAGAATGTTCTGAATTGTTCATAGGTCTTGGGCTAGTGAATCCTGCAGTATGAAACTTGAATATGCAGTTTCAAAAAGGCAGGCAGACATTGAGACCTTTGTATGGCCTCAGTGGAAATAAACAACAAGGTCATTGGATCACTGGCAGAGCCATATAGCCTAGAAAACATCTGAACAAAGACTTAACATTGAATGATGGCACAAGTGATGCAGTCACTAGTTTGTAAGACTATTCATGTGTGTATAATCCCTTTATAAAAGAGTAATATGTTGGTGTCTTGTTGAGTCAGGTCTACTGAATTCTTAACTTTTCAAGCCAAAACTCTTCATTCATTGGGAATGAGAAGAGTAACTTATAAATCCAAGAACAAGAACACAAGTGTTTGTTACTAGAGGAATGTTTACACTGCTTAAAATACTAATAACTTGCTGTTCTGACACAGTTCATGCAAGCAGTTTATAAAACTTTTGCATTCAGACTGGCTCCTTGGGGACAGAATGGAAAAATAGTTCTTCAGAATTTTCCCAAATAACTACATCAACAGTATGCATAACTTCTAGACCTGTGGTTCAGTATTAATGCTACTAGTTTCTAAAGTTCTTAACAGACTGGGAATTGTTCTGTTTATACTGTTTTTAGACTCCCCAAGCAAAATGAACTACTACAGGTCACTATTTCTCAGTGAATTTAAGTAAGAAATCTAGCCCTTCCCTAGGGAAAAAAATTGGCTAAGTTAAAAACATGAAAACACTACAACAGGTATGTCAAACAGGCCTCTGGAGGGCCCACTCAATTTTTTTTGGCCCACGACTACATTTTTATAAAAATAAAGTGCAGCCTCCTGGCTACTCAGAGCACATGGCCAAGTGCAGATCACAGCCTGCTGACCAGCTGCTCTGCTCACAGCTCTCCAGGCTGCTTGGTGCTCCAGTGACTGCTCACAGCTGGCCAGGCCACTCTGCATTGGGCAGTCCAGCATTTCCTCACAGCCGGCCAGCTGCTCTGCACAGGCATCAAGCGCCTGCTGATAGCTGGCCGCTGTGCTCACGCCGCCCCGGTGTCTGAGGAAGAAATGTGTGGCGGCTCCGGGACCCATTAGGTTAGGGGGGGCTGGGAATGTCTGGCTCTGGGGAAGGAGGGAGGTATTAGGTTGGGGGGTATCATCTATAATTATGACTTTCTGATAGAAGTACACTTTCTTTGGCCCTGAAACCTATCGGTTTTCGTTTGTGTGGCTTTCAGTAGGCTTCGAGTTTGACATACCTGCACTACACTCTAGGGGTGCATCTAGCCTGGCATGATTTTGCGCAAAAGTGGCCGCTTCTGTGCAAAATCTTGCCGCCTGTCTACTCTGGCCGCGAGTATTTGCGCAAGAACACTGACTTTGTAATGTATAAAATCAGTGGTTCTTGTGCAAATACTCAGACGCTCCCGCTCAGGGATAAGCCCTCTTGCACAAGTATTCTTGCACAAAAGGGCCAGTGTAGACAGCTATGTTAATTTCTTGTGCGAGAGAGCGTCTACATTGGCACGGATGCTTTTGCGCAAAAGCAAATCTTTTGCGCAAAGGTACATGCCAGTATAGACGCTCTCTTGCACAAATACTTTTAACGGAAAAACTTTTCCGTTAAAAGTATTTGTGCAAAATCATGCCAGTCTAGATGCAACCTAGATGACCTAAGATTTGATTTAATTTTCTTTCTATTCTAGCCAAAGATTTACATCCAACAACATATGGCAGTTTAATACTTGAAATCTAAAATACATCCAATGCTTGGAATTGGTCTTCCATATAGGTGGCTACTACGCTAGTTGAAGAACTTAATATGAATGCTTTAAAGAGGATTCCTTAACTTCTTTCTTAATATCAGAGATATCTTCCTCTTCTCCCCTCCCCCCCTCATGCAAGAGAGAATATTAGTTTCTTCAGCTACAGCAAGGTGGTTACACAACTCAAGAATGCATTTATATTTTTAACTCAACAAAAGATTTTAAGTTGCAATATTGGATAGAAGCTAAATATGAACTTTAATGTCTCACTTCAGCGGCAAGGGGTGGGTTTTATTGCAAGAAGTATCTTAATTTGCTTCCTAACTAAGGGCAACTTCTCATTTCCTCTAAATGAAAGGAAGTTGGGGGACGAATCCTGCCTGCTATTTTGAGGCTATGCCATAGCTGCAGACTTTGGCTATGTCTAGACTGCAGGCTTCTTTCGAAAGAGGCTCTTTCGAAAGATGCTTTCGAAAGAGCCTCTTTCGAAAGAAGCCTGCAGTCTAGACATAGCCAAAGTCTGCAGCTATGGCATAGCCTCAAAATAGCAGGCAGGATTCGTCCCCCAACTTCCTTTCATTTAGAGGAAATGAGAAGTTGCCCTTAGTTAGGAAGCAAATTAAGATACTTCTTGCAATAAAACCCACCCCTTGCCGCTGAAGTGAGACATTAAAGTTCATATTTAGCTTCTATCCAATATTGCAACTTAAAATCTTTTGTTGAGTTAAAAATATAAATGCATTCTTGAGTTGTGTAACCACCTTGCTGTAGCTGAAGAAACTTCTAAGCCAACCATTCTTACATAAGAGCTATCCAGCAATATGTTCTACACACTCAGCAACTCTCTGAAAAGTGAATGATACCTGATGCAAATTGCTCCACATGGCACTCCAAAAGTATGGACCTCTTTTGTGTAGAACTAACTTTGGCAAGTGTGTAATTCTTTGAAAGTCACACCTTTAAGGTTTTTTTGTCAAAGCTGTGGTCCTGCCCATTTTATTTGAATATAGAATATTAAAAAAATCACTCTAGTTGCTCATAAGTCTATTGCTACTAAAAAGATGCAAAGAACCTCCTTGGAAGCTTCAAAGTTTCTCTCTGTGTCTGAAGTTGGTCCAATAAAAGATATTACTTCTCTTGCCTTGCTGCTCTAAAATATCTGCAGTCACATTTCTGTATTGTTCAAAATATGAACCAAACTAATAATCTAGCTAAACTTCCTAAAAGCAAAACACAAATTTGAAACTTGTTTCAGCAATTCTGAGCACAGCTATCCATCTTCCTTGGAAGCGGACAAGCTGGATTGAAATTGGCAGTTTAAACTGCTTTGATTTATCTCACTAAGCAGAAAATCTTGGTGTGTTGTTTTTTTCCTAAAATAAAAATGACCCTCACTGGTGCTCTGGCAATGATTTTTAAAGGGCCAGGGCCTCTGGCTGCTGCTGCAGAATCAATGGTAGCAGCTGGGAGCCCTGGGCCCCATTGGCAGGCCTGCCTCAATAGGGAAGTGAAAAATCAAACATGTTATCACAACTCCCTGAATATTCAGATTTAAACACATTCCTGTAGGACTGCCTCCAGAATGATAATAGCACTATCTGACAGATATTCACACGAGGTTGGCCGGTACCCAAAAAAATCTTACATCTGCAGCTGTTGTTTCCTTAACCACCTAACAGTCCAGAATGTGGATTTTTGAATTCATTCTGATTTACACTTTGGATACAACTCAACCAGGACCTAGATGCAAATTTTCCACATCCAGAAGAAAGTTTCTACTGGGTAAATTAGAGGCTAGGATGTACCATTTGGATTTCTTCTCCACACAACATGGAATGTGCTTCCTTCTGCATTTAGGACCATGTCTGTCAATGCACTGGCTGAGCTAATCAAGACATGTTACTGTAGCATACCTCAACTGTGCCAACCTCTTCCGTAAATGTTGTGCATGCCTACTAATGTACAAGGGGTCTTAAACACAGTGAGTGGCTCCTTTACTCCTTTGAGGTTCCTCAACTTAAATCTCTGCTTACCACCTTCTGGCATGAAATGCAGTGGTGGGGCTGAGTAATTTTAGAAAGCAGACTGGTTTTAAAACGAAATGTGAACACTGACACAATGTTTCTTCCTTTTCAAGATCAGTCTTTTGTGACTCTAGCTACAAATGACTCTTATGTTAAAGGAGCACTGGTCTTGGGTTCTTCTCTGCAACACCATAGAACAACAAAGAAATTAACTGTGCTCATCACTCCTCAGGTCTCTGCTCCCATGAGGTAAGTAACCTAATTCATTGATCACTCCTGTTTCTTTGGGGGTTAAAATTATTTTAAGTGCTCTGTACTGACCGTCAGAAGCTGGTAAATGTTATTAGATGTTCGGTTTCTTGTTTGTGTTCTCCCTGGGTGCCAACCCAGTTATGTGCAGGTATCGGGCACAGGAGACCTTGCACGAACTGCCCAATGCCCACAAGGACCAGTAAGGTAACAAAGCACAGTAATAGTATCCCTAGAGTCTGCCAGATGCTGGCGCTTTGTCTACACTTCTAAAATTAAGCACTGCTATGGCAGTGCTTTAAATGGAAAGTATGGCCATGACAGGAGTGCTGGGTGAGAGCTCTCCCAGTGTTCTATGTAAACCATCTCCATTAGGGGAGTGCTGGGGGTCCATTTGCACTAGCACTTTACAGCGCTGTAACTTGCTGTGCTCGTGGGGCTGTGGGGTTTTGTTTTTCCACACCTCTGAGCCAGAAAGTTGCAACACAGGAAAGTGGCAGTTTAGAGTTCACTTAAGACTAGCTGGAGTTACCTGGTGTTGCTCAGGACAGTTGATATAACTGAGATGATGAGCCTGAGGGGAGGGAGGGGGAAGGAGCTGTGTGCCTGCTGCTGGCACCTGATCCCCACCCTCCGCTTCCTTGTGCCTCCACCGGCCTTAGTGAGCGACTGTCCCCGCTGCTTCCCCCGGGAAGTCAGTTATCCCTGCACTGCCAAGTTCCGTGTAGCCCTGGGGAGAGGCATCTCTCTCTCATCTCGTCCCACCCACAGTCTCTTAACCTTTTATCCAGGAGAAGGTTTTATCCCATGCAAAATTTGGTTGCGGTAGCTCTTAAAGTGGACAAGTTATTAGTGCACAAACATACAAACATTCTCCTTTATATATTAAATATGTATGCATGAGGTGATGGATGCAGCTCAGTCAGTCGTGGGACTTTTCACTGCTCCAGCTGTCCAAACACCCTTCCTTAGACTTCATGTTGTTTCCGTATAACCAAGCTATGTATTGCCCCTCTGAAGTGGCTGGCTGGCACCCTTTAACATCACATAATCTAGTAGCACTTCATAGACTAACAAAATATGTAGATGGTATCATGAGCTTTCGTGGGCACAGCCTACTTCTTCAGATGACCAGAATGATGGAAGTCCAGAACCAAGAATAAATAAAGGGGGTGGGGGAAACTGGAGACAAGGGAGAAGGACCATTGGGTACATAAGTTTCAAAGGGATAGCCAAGCCAGTCTGTAACAAGAAAAACGTAAACAATAAATAGTCTATTAGCACCTCAAAGACTAAATAGTTAAGAGGCTGATGATGATCATTAGGCTATGTCTAGATTACATCCCCCTTTCAAAAAGAGGGATGTAAATAAGGCAGAATGAAGTGAAGGTTTAAATATCACGTTACAAATATGAAAATGAAGATATTTAAGTTCAAAAAGGGTGGGTTTTTTTCCCCCAAAAGTACCATGTGTAGACTGAGATTTCACTTTTGAAAGGCAGAATGAAGTGAAGGTTTAAATATCACGTTACAAATATGAAAATGAAGATATTTAAGTTAAAAAAGGGTGGGTTTTTCCCCCAAAAGTACCATGTGTAGTCTGAGATTTCACTTTTGAAATACCCTTTTTCAAAACAGCAATTTCAAAAGTGAAATCTCAGTCTACACATGCTACTTTTGGGGGGGGAAAAAAAACCCCACCCTTTTGGACATAAATATGCAAATGAAGTGCAGTATATGTAAATCTCCGGTTCATTTGCACTTTCAAAGTGCTTAATTTATATCCCTATTTCGAAAGTGGGATGTAGTACAGACAAGCCCTTAGTTTAGTACTCTTCCTAGTGCAAACTAATGGTTCTTATCCGCCTCTTTTAACTATTTAGTCTTTGAGGTGCCACCAGACTATTCGTTGGTTTTTAAGTTTTTCCTGTCACTGACTAATTCAGCTACCCCTCTGAGGGTGTGTCTAGACTACCTAGTTTTGTCGACAAAACTATACCAGCGTCTACACTACCGCTGAGTTCTGTCGACATAATATCGACAGAACTCAGCAGTTTTGTCAACGCTGGTATACCTCATTTTACGAGGCATAACACCTTCTGTCGACAGAACTCTGTCGACAGAAGGTGTTATTGCCTGTAACATTGCGTCCAGACTACGGAGTTCTGTCGACAAAGCAGCTTGCTTTGTCGACAGAACTGAATGTGTCTGGATGCTCTTTGTCGACGGAAGTTTTGTCGACAGTATCTGTCGACAAAACTTCCGTCGACAAAACGCAGTAGTCTAGACGTACCCTGAGACCCTCTGACATGTAACCAGTTACCACCTATCACCTTCTCTTTCCATTTATGCTGTCATCCTGACCTTCTCTATAACCAGTTACCACCTATCACCTTCTAACTCTTTCCATTTATGCTGTCATCCTGACCTTCTCTTTAGGAGAGGTTAGTATGTTCCTGTTACCTGTGATAAATGCGTTTGCACCATCCTTGAGATTGGGAACATTCTGGTACCACACTTTTGGATTCTGTTTGTGTGAGTACTCTGTACTTAGCATTACTTAGAAATGTGTGTTTCTGCAATATCAGTCTAGTTCTTGCCAGATTCTGTGAGCCTGTAAGCAGGTAGAGTCTGTTTGCTCACAGCCTGATTTTTTTTTTTCTAACTTTGCTTCATATCAGCAAAGCTTGCCTGTTAGTTTGGCTCAGGTCTCTGATACAAGGGCTTATATCTAAGGGGCTCCTCCTGCTACACTCAGAATATTATCTCAAAACGCTGAGGGCAGTAGATACGAATGAGTTATTCCATCAGTTTCTATACCCTTGCTGCTTTCAGCAGTAAACTGTCTAGCCAGAGCTTGCTGATAGACAAGCTTGTATGCTGAAGAGACTGACACATAGCTAAACTTTAATCCACTAACTTAGAAAAGCAACGATGATTTTGTGGTTGTCTGGGGAGATCAAAGTTCAATGTCTGGCTCTACCACAGACATCTTGGGCAAGTCCTATCTCTCTGCCTCGCTTCATCAGTAAAATAGAGATAATGCTTCCTCTCCTACCTCTTCTCTATGTTGTATTTTAAGGCTGACACTGATATGGGAAGCACTATGTTGGTAGGAAAGCTTCTCTCCCTGGTGTAGCTAATTCCACTCATTGGGGGTGGATAAATTATATCAATAGGAGAGATCTCTCCCATTGGCATGGAGCAGCTACTTCAGAGAGCGGAGAGAGAGCAGAGGCGCTGGACTGCTGTAAGATCTCTTGTGTAGTCATGGCCCTAAATTAAGTTCTTCAAGGTACTATTTCTGCCTAGGGACAAAGGACAAGTAGTTTCAGGCTAGTGCACTAGACTGTGATCAAGGCTGAGTACCCTGCTGTCCTATGAGGCATCATGTGTGACCTTGTTCAAGTCTTAATCTCTCTCCCTTTGTTTCCTATCTGTACAATGGGAGAGACTAGTCCTTCCCTAATTCATAGGTGTTTTGAGATAAATGCATCAAAAGCTGTGAGAGTGGAATAATCCAGTAATGAAGGCTATATAAGTACACTAGATAGAACTTCCAATTTTGAAAACACTTATGCCCTTGCAAACTTTGATGCTGACCATTCATATTAAATTCTTCTTGAATGTAGAAAATGGGCAAGCAGATTGTAGAAGCTCAAACGATGAGGAGAGTCTTATCTGGCATTGAATATATCAATGTAACAATCCTTTCCACTACAAACCTAAACTCTGGCATGAAACAAACCTTAAGTCTCTGACTATAGAGTTTAACTTCAGGCCATGACTCCCCGTTGAACTTAAGAATGGGAAGTTACTAGCTAGACTGGTTACATGACCCTTGTTCTCTAATCCACAGGAAGCTGTTTTGGCAAAATACTGCTTGCTGTAATGACAGGTGATTCCATGATTATCTCCAACACAAAATGGGCTACTTAATCTCTCAGAGCTCTCAACTTCAGTGCCTCACTTACACAACAGTCTGTTCAGGTGAATCTTACTCCTGTCCACTAGGCTAGCAGTTTCCTCCACAAGAGGAAGGGATGAAAGTAAAAACACACGTAATTAAAATAAGTTTATTTGTACAACCAGTAAAATGTGGCATTATTAGAATTTGCAGATTTCATTACTGATCTACAACATCATTGCATATTTTAGAAGTAGCTTTTTAAAAAACTTCCACTAGAATGATACTGAATGTCACTTAAAAAGCACAACAGGTGACAATCTGGTGGGCAAAGTACAAATTGAATGGTCTTGATCTACAACAAGTATACAATTTAACTCCCTGATAGTAGCTCAAAATACTCCAGATGCTAATGGGCTGGCTAGTTCCAACTTGCACTGCTGTTGTTAAATGTAAAATGTCAAGGACTCAGAAACAATAAATGTTGGTCCCCAATAGCCCGACAATAGTCTGTCGAAATCAAGTGTAATACTCTTAGTCTCTCTACTCACTAAAACATCAGTATCAGCATACTTAAATGATAAAAACTGAACCTGAAGAACTGCCAAGAGCTTTAAGAACTTGTATCATACTGTAGTTTAGCTATTCAGAGTTGAGTCTTTTAACTTAGTGGACAATCTCTTGCTGCAAGAGACCATTTCCAAGTAAAAGGAAGTAAACTAAGCTACCTAGATATCTATTTCACTCATTGGCACACAAATCCATGACTCAGGCATAGTCTACATTAACAAATTTTGTCAACAAAACTTATGTTGACACCCAAAAGTCGTCAAAACAGATTGCCAGAGGGTGTTTACACTTGCTCCCTCTGTCAACGGATCCCATTCACATTGAGAGCACCATCAGTGATGGTGCAAGCAATACACTGTGGGTAGGTGGAGCTGATCTGAGCATCTTGGGGATACCCTCAATTCTCCCACAGCCTCCTCAGCTGCTGAGAGTGGTACTATGAGTAGCTCCGAGGTCTCCATTCTGAGATGTTAAAACAGCACAATAGTCTGTCCCCTCCCTTTGCAGCAGCAGATTGCCTGCTGTTGTGATTCTAGTGCAGGGCAGAACAGGAACAGTCCAGTGATTTGCTCTTTGTTTGTGAGCAGCATACTCAGCTCTCAGATATTTCCCTTTCAAAGCTCTGGGGAAGCGATGTATCCCTGCAGGGCAGCAGAGATCAAAACACTGAGCAGAGCAATCTAGGCAGGCATTGTGAGATACTGGCAGAAGCCAGTTCTGTCAACAAGACAAATAGCAGTGTTTACATTGGCTCTGTCAACCATTAAGGGAGGAGAGAAGAAAAGTCTCTTGTGGAAATTTTTCTGTCAATGAAACTGAGCATTTTTCCTGACAAGCTGCATTGCATGGTGTACACTCTCACTGTTTTGTCACCAAAAAGCGGGTTTTTGCAACAAGATGTGGTAGTGTGGACAAAGCCTAAGTGAACACTCTCTTGATGGACTAGATAAACTAGCAACATTGGGGTCTGGTCATTGTAGCTTTAAACATCAACAGTTGTTTTTGACTTAATATTGGCTATGCAAGGAATGTGTTATGCAATTACTTGTACTAGAACTGTTTAGGATTCAGCTGCTGTCCAAAGTCCTGTACAGACTAGTCTAATAGCCTTCTGTTTTTCAGTTAGAGGCTTAAAATAGTCTGTCACCTCATCAAGAGGCAGTGTTTTCAGGTCTGGCTGAGGCAAACTGTGTGGGAGGCTTAAACTGTAAGACATTATCTACCTGACTTATACACATGACTTCAGTTCTCATTGGTGATGGGATTAGTAGCATTCAGGAACACCAACTTGGTAACTAAGGCATTTCTAAACTAGACATTTGACAACTCTTACCCATCTGTTTTGTTTTTTTTTAAATAGACTAAATTTAAGATTTCATCTAGGCTTCCACTCCATATTGTGCTCTAAAAGTTTAAGCCGTACAAAGCTGTCTCAGGGTTGGGGATATTGGAAGGATTGTCTTGCAAAAGTAAATCAATGATTACTTTTCCACAGGAAAGTGCTAGAGAAGGTTTTTGATGAAATCGTATTGGTAAATGTCTTGGACAGTGGGGATTCAGCCCATCTAGCACTAATGAAAAGACCTGAGCTGGGTGTCACATTAACAAAACTCCACTGCTGGGAATTGACTCAATATTCAAAATGTGTGTTCATGGATGCAGACACAATGGTAAGTTTTATATATTTGCTATTCAGAATACTGTTCCTTCTATTGGTTTGCAGTAGAGACCTCTTATTATTGGGGACTTGTAATTCAGTGTGCTTAAGCCTACAAAACAACTTGTAATTGGTTGCAATAAGGGAATATATCCATGTCAAAATGATCCTCCAAAAAATGAGATGTTTGATATGAACACTTGCGTTCATATCTTGGGGTGGATGGCAAAATCAACAGAGCATAATGCTATGAATCACCTAGCCTAGAAAACAAAGCAATTTTTCCCCCTTACAACTAGGTTTTATCAAAAATTGATGAGCTTTTTGAGAGAGAAGAGCTATCTGCAGCACCAGATCCAGGCTGGCCTGACTGTTTTAATTCCGGAGTTTTTGTTTATCGACCTTCCATTGAAACATACAATCAGCTGTTACAACTTGCCACAGAAAAAGGCAGCTTTGATGGTATGTATTGAATTCACTGCCAGCATTCAGGTTTACATTGTTTAAAATGTTGTGGGATAGGGGAAAGAATATTTCAGATAGGCATTCCTTCAGGGACACCATTTACATTCTGAATTCTGAAATTCCAGTACCTCGCTGGAAAGAATACTTGTGTTTACAGGAATCTCATATGTATGGATTCCTATAGATTGAGTCTGACTTGATTATAGTTGGAAATCTAACATCAATCATTAATAAGCTTATCTAGTATTAAAAGGCCTAGATGGAATTCAAAGGCACCTTAATGAGTCTTAAGTGGAGAAAGCTAGGCCAAACTAAACAGCCATTTGTAAAGCTCTTTCTGCAGTTCTCAACTAGGATACTGAACATTGTTCAGACAATAAATCAATATAGCATCCTGCATTTTTGAAACCAGCTAGTCACTAATGGATTTGATTGCGTTGGCCACTTAAACATTAATCAGTGAAAATAAGCTCCTTTCTAGTGAAACTTTTCACAAAATAATTTGTGGATATCCCAAGGACAAGGTGAATGTGATGTTCAGAAAGCTGGATTGCTCTAAATAGCTTTTTTTCCCCAATTAAACTTATTCTTCCACTCCCAGTAGTTTGTCAGATAGATAGCTTTCAGTGAAATTGGAGATTTTTATTAATGAATAGCAGCATTTCCTAAAAAAAGATGAAATTTGTCTCCATGGAGACAACCATAGTGTTACTCAGAGTGCATGTGGTGAAAGCATTTGGAGTCATGTACCTTCCCACCATGTGTTGAAAGCATTTGGAGTCATGTACCTTCCCACCCCTCTATCCCTCATTTGTTGCTTTGCTTGTATTAAGCATGCTCAATATCCTTACCCTCAGCTACCCTCATTCTGAGCTCCACCCCTCACTATCAGCAGGCACGGGTCATCTCTGGTTGGTAACTCATTAAAATTCAAGTGAACTTCTTTAACAGCCTTCTTCATACTGAGTAGCAGTTTGCTTATCAGACTTCTAAAGAGGGTTCAGACTGACTATTCCCAGGAGTAAGTTTCCTGGTGTACGTGGTTCCTTGCTTTTCTGTATTTGTTCTGGCAGGTGTTGTTGCTAGGCCCCTTAATCTAGAGTGGTAGCCAAATGAGATTCAACAAATGGCATACTGATTATAGGTGGCTGGTTAATGTCCTTTGGAACACCTTTTTCAAATCCTTTGGTAGTAGAGTTAAACTTGCTGCTTCGCTGAATAGCTAGACATGCAGTCCAGAAGTTCCATGTAGTTGCTACCTTGTGGACCAGCAAACTGGAGTATCCCCTTCAGGGATAGAAGAGAAAAATTGCCATTCCACCTCAAACTGCTGTTGTAACAGAACTGTATTAAGATGTGTTGAGTTGGTAGAACACCATTGGAATAAGCATCTCAAATATTTACATAGGCACTTCCTAATAGTGTAGGAGTCTTGAAAAAATAAAGGCCTGCAAGCTCCCAATATATAGTCTCTTGACTTGGAAGAGCTTTCTTAATATCAGGTGGTAAACTCAGTAGGTTTCTGTGACCCTCAAATGTATTCCACATGTCACTCATTGCTTTTTTAGTGCTGCTTTGGCAAAAATCTTCATAGTAAAACATGGCCATGATTTCTTCAGAATTGTATCTTTTTGGCTCTGCTATAGTGATTTCATTATGATAAGATGGGCTCGACAAATAGGCTAATCTACTCACCCATGGCGAGTAGATTATAGCCCGGTGCGGCTGCGCAGCGCGGTTTGTGCATGTGCAGTGTGCGCTTCTGCGCAGCTGGCAAGCAGGGCTCGCTGCTGCTTGGCAAGCTCTGATAAGTGATAAGCTTGCTTGCCCAAACTGGCTGGCTGGACTAAATATAATTGAATTGTTACTGCTCTCCCCATGTTTAGTATTAATACAGTAGTTTTAATGTTACCTTAATACTCTTTACCAACATAAGATCGTATGTGGGGTAGCCCTATAATGTCCTAAAACAGAAATGGTCCAGCTAAGGTGGGGGGGAAGGGAGTGGAGGATTTGTTATTCTCTGGAAAAAAGTACTGAAGCTATATCGATATGTAAAGAACAAATGTCAAGGTGAAGAACATAATATCACTTCTTTGTCTAATCTACTTCTATTTAGCATTAGAAGTCTCCTAGGAAAGCACGTATCATAATTGTTCTGCATAATTGTCCAGGTAGATGTTCACTGACTTCTTGTGTTGTAAACTAGTCTACATTCAACATAGGGGTCTGAACACTTACTGTATGTATCAACTTCTGAAGCATAAAACTTCTAGTATCATATGCATTTATACAGCTAACTAGGCGCTTTAATCCAGTAGACTTCTAGTATGACATCCCTCAGAAAATGTAATGAAAGCCTCAACTGCTTTTAGCAAACCAGTCAGGCCTTGATCCCAAAAAAGCAGTCCCCTGCAAAACTACCAAGCCAAAAGTGAGTCTCTAATAATTAATCATGAGTCAGTGTTATCTTGGTTATACATGTAAATCTGGAGTGACAGATCATAATCTAGACTGATCTACTGTATCTGCCTAACTGCAACTGAAATAACATATCTGACACTTCCAATGTTTACTACTCCAGTTTAACTCCAAGTTATGAATGGAAATTGAGTAGCATCATGCAAGACCAAATATATGTTCACATGTAGCCACTAGGGACTCTAAGCCTTTGGTGGTCTTCTGGGAGGTAAAATAGCCTATAAAGTATGACTGAACTTTGCAAATCTCTATGTGGCAAGAAGAAGAGGACTGATATGCCCTCCCAAGGGTGAAAATGTAAGTTGAAGAAAACTAACTTCTACAAATAGAATGCTACTCCATTGCCAGAGATTTCTACTGGATATACGAGCTCATGTGACTAAACTGAATCTTGAATCAGTTAGTGATATAGATAGAAAATTAACAGAAATACTGATTGTTTCCATGCAGCTTGCTGGGGACCAGGGTTTATTAAACACCTTCTTCAGCAACTGGGCAACAGCGGATATCAACAAACACTTGCCATTTATTTATAACTTAAGCAGCATTTCTCTATACTCCTACCTTCCAGCATTTAAAGCGTAAGTTCAACATTTTCTTGTAGAAAAATGATTTATCTTGTGTAGCCATTATATAGGCCAGATTTAGTAGATCTCTTATGAAGCTGATTGATCTCTTGCTAGATGGAAAAAGCTGTGTATTTAAAATCAGTTCTTTTGACTCCATTTTCAGTATGGAGATCCATGGCTTAGGCCAAATGAAGGGTATGTAATAGCTAGTGCAGGCTCTTAATTTCACTTTGAACCATGTAAAGGGCAACAACCATGTAATGGTTTAAACTTAAGCTTAGATTAAAAAAAACTAATTAAAATTGAAATAAATATTCTTTACATATGTGGTAGTAACTCATTCTTTAATTTACCTGGCATAGGTGCATTTGACATGCTCTTGTTCTATTGCAAGGGTGCAACTCTCGCTCTTTTAATGTCACATTCTGCTGTGAACAAAGGTATTATCTGCCCTGCAGTGCTTCCTTTCTAAAGAATTTGGTTGAGTGAAGCCCAAGCTAATGTGGGCTAGATATGGGGGGCAACTCCTAGCTAAAATATATATTCTCTCCTTCCTTTTTGACCTCCATGTTACAAAAATTAATCCTGATACCAGCATAGCTATTGGGTTGCCCCTTTTTTGAGGCTATCATCGGTAGCATAAATATTTCACAAACAATGTGGCAGGGACAACCAGGTTTTATATCCTGCAAATAAGCAGACATGAAGCTTTTTCCTCTGTTTGCTTACATTGCACTTCACCTCAATCTTTCTAAATCTGCAATAGACCGCTCCTAGGGCAGCAAGTAAAAGTTTGGTTTTGTCCTTCTGATCAACATGCCCCTGCAATTCTCTGCCATTTCAGGTAATGTTTTTCCTATGTAATGGCACTCTACATTGTTACAGCATGAAATATATGCAAAAACTATTCGAACATGGGCTCAATTTACAACCTGTTATAACTGGACCATGTTACATTGCTAGCTTCAAAAGCAAGTGAGGAGTAATTCCATGAAAACTCAGCTGATCTCTAGATGACATCAAGTTGCTAGAGATTAACGCAGCAGCTAACATAAGCAGTATTGTTGCTGGCTCAAGTTCAAACCATGTCTTGTGATCTGAACATCTGAAATTGTCCGGTTTAAAATTAGAACACCTATTCTAAGAAGAAATGCATGCAAGCCAGAATGAATACTCACTCAGTAGTCCAAATAAACAGAATTTAATAAGCTAAAAGCTATTGTGATGTACACCTTTCTCAACTACTCCTTTGCTGAGATTAATCATTTCATATGGGAACTCTTATAATTGATCTTGTTGCCATGAGAGGTCAGCTGGATCTGCCTGGCGCAGGCAAAACTTTTTTATAAATTAAACTGAGATGCAGTCAGCTTAATGCGCTAATGGTTGTGGCTTCTGGATTTTGCAAGTAACAGATGATCTGTGTCAGGGTAGGCATGCTCAGTGAACACCTTTTTCATGTAGATGTCCAGATCCACTAGACTGCTTAATGGCTGGAAGGAACCAAAGTTTAAATCTACCCCAACAAATATCTAATCCTGTGAAGTGTACGTACCATGAGACTAAGCTTCACACCTGCATAGAAAGTTGTACATGTTGTCAAGCTTCAAAGCACTGAGTGGAGGTACCATTGCAGGGTATATGGGGGGGGAGGGGGAGGAGCGGCGAATACAAAGCAATGCAATCCATTAAGTTTTCTATGTATGTTTAATAAAAGATAAAAGCACTTTTGTCCTGATTTCAAAATGAGTGGCAGCAGAGAACAATTCAGGAATGAACGGACTGTACTAGTGTAACTCAGAGGAAATTGGTATTCTACAGTAAAGTCTAATGTTCACAAAACCAGAAGAATCATCCTAAACCAGCATTTCTCAAATGCAGGCACAGCCTCCTGGAGAGTAATGGGCAGGGGCGGAATGTTACATAAAGCAGTGTTTAGCCAATGTACAAATATCACTTTTCACAGATTTACTAGCGAGCAAGTCTTAACGCAAAAGAAACACCAACAAAGATGGGAGCATAAGCACAGTCGCTTCTATTCTGTTTAGGGCTAATGTAGTGTAGACTTGCCCTGGAACAAAGCCAACTGAGGGAAGGCTGCCCTCAAGAGGATAAAATGGAATTGTCTTGATTCCATTAAAGCAGTCTTGACTAGCTTAAAAATTAAACTTGGCCATCTATTCTAATCCAATCCCTTACTCTCTCTCAGGGACTCCACATGAAGCCTAAAAGCAAAATTCTTCAAAGCAAACTCTTGTCTCTTATTTATAGTTAATAGCAAGTTTGACCTAAACTGTGGCAACAAGATTCCTCCACCTGTATCATACCGTAGTCTCAATCACTTTCAAAGGTTTATGTTGACACACATGAAAACATGCCATTTAATAAAATGTAGTTTTTAATTACTCCAAAACACTCAAATTGAAAAACATGCTACAGATCTCATTAATAGAGTTATATGTACCCTAAAGTCTGAGAAGTGGGAGTATTAGCTGCAGAGGAGAGAGCCAGGGCATCTGGGCCCTGGGAGAAAGTAAGCTGAGCTTGTTTAAATTATCTGACTTTTCTGTTGAAATGATCAGAAGTGAAGCGGGGGAATATAGAGACCAAAACCACTGGTAGTTCACCATTTGGAAAACTTCTGCCTAGAGATTTGAGACTGATTGATTAGACTAGGTTCCTGCAACCAGAGAGGCTAAAAACTAACTCTCACTCTGAAGCTATGTCTAGACTGCAAGCTTCTTTTGGAAGAAGCTTTTCCAGAAGAGATCTCCCAGAAAAATATTTTTTTTTGAAAGATTGTCTACACAACAAAAGTACAATGAAAAAGTAATCTCATCCACACTGATAGGATGCTATTTTGCATTTCAGTTGTGATTACTGAAGACAGAATGGTTACCAGGGCAGTGCTTTTTTCTTAGAGGCCTCTTCTTCCGTGTCCACACATGCGTTTTTTAGAAAAAGGCATCCTCCTCGTAGAAAGAAGTTTACCGCTGTTGGAAAAACCCCTCTATTCTTTTGACTGTCAAAAGAAGGCAACAGCAGTGTGAATGTAAGTGTAGTTTTTCCAGAAAAACTCTGCAGTGTAGACATACCCTGAGTGGAGGCAAGCTGCATAGCTATGTAACACTAGGAGTTCACTGGGCTAGGCTTCCTGGTCCTACTGGATTACTATTAGCACATTAAAGGGACTTTAAAAAGTACATCCACACTATAGCTGCATGACTATTAGTTTTTATGTAAGGACTACATAAATAATCAAATTCTCTTGACCTACCTAGAAAGCTGAGATTTGTAGGGGTTTTGAATAGTTATGTATTTAAAAGATGCAGTTTGTCAGTGTGGGGGAGAATTGAATTACCCCCCCACCCCCACCCTAGAGTCTCATCCTGACAGGTGGTACAGACTGAGCCAGTGTTGTCCGTAGGGATGGTGCAGTGCCTGGGACAAATCTACCTCTCTGCTCTCCTCCTCATCTGCCTGTCACTTACCTCCCAGCTAATCTCACCATCCATCCAACACATGTCCACCTATCTCCCATTCACTACCTAGTCTCCAAGCTATCTGTCCAGTGTCCTGCCCCCATATCCACCTCCTTGCCCCTTTCCTGCCTGCTGTTTGCCTCACCCTCCTGCCCACGTTCTCACCTGAACTGTGGTACAAATAGCAGCCCAATTGTACATGGCTAGGAACACAGAACAGAGGGCTAACTACTGGGAAAGTCCTGATTCTATCAAAACATGGGACTCCCCAAAACACAGGGCCTTGGGCAGTTGCCCCAATTTGCTCTACCCAAGGCACAACTCTGGCCTGAACTACCCTTAGCAAAGGTGCTCTGGCAACCAACTAGAACTTCCCCTTCTGTAGGGCTGAAGACTAAGAAACCAGTGATCTTGTCACTGGGATCCGATTAAGCTAAGTGTATGGTACCTAGCTATTTGGATCACCGAATCTGTAGTGGAAACTCTCATTCTTTAAAACTTGTTCTGATTGCAACTGCTGCTTGAGACTGTTCCATCCTGAGCACTTGTGGACCCCAAACTACAAAGAAACTGGCTGTTGTAAGTACCGAAATAACCCAAACCTAGTGGTTTGTGCTATTTTCAATCTGAATAAGCTATTTAAGAGAGCTTTCTACCTGCATTCTTCTGTTGCATAGTGATGTGTTCAGTGTTGGTAGGCAATAGCAATTCCTTAGCTTTTTCTTTAGGAGATGGAGTGCTATCCTGGTAGTGTTTGGTTTTTTGTTTTTTTTTTCCTGGACATCTAATATCTAATTCAAATGTCTTTGTTTGGCAGGTTTGGTACAAATGCTAAAGTGGTGCATTTCCTAGGAAGAATGAAACCATGGAACTACACATATGATTCCAAAACAAAAAGCATAAAAGGTGATACAAGTGATCCTACAATTGTTCACCCAGAATTCCTCAACATGTGGTGGGATACCTTCATCACCAACATCTTACCACTACTAGAACAACATGGAATTGTAAAAGACACTGCTACTGGTGTAAAGGCGGTATGTTGTCCTCTTATCTTGGATACCTGCTTCAAAACAGTGTAAATGGGAATGTTCTATTTCCCCATCCCAGACTTCAAATTACTGAAGGCTTCAGGGGCAATCCATTGACTTGAAGTGTAGCTTTCTCCAGCTCCTTTGACTTCAAATAAAATTGAACAAAGGAAATAACTGGGTTAGCCTCACCGCTGGTAGAACTGTTGACCCATCTCCCTCTCCAAATAAGTACTGTAGACTTCCAATAATCTGGCACCTTTGGGACTCATCTCCCTCTCCAAATAAGTACAGTAGACTTCCAATAATCTGGCACCTTTGGGACCTAGGTGGTGCCGGATTATCAGATATGCCGGAGTAGCGGGAGGTCCTGATACAGCTGCATGGCTTAACAGCTGGCCGTGACACACTCTCCCTCCCTCTCCTCCTCCCCTTTCCTCTTAGCTTCTACTCCATGCTGTAACCCGATCCCCTCCCCCTCTCCTTTCCCCTTCTACTCCACGCTGTAACCCGATCCCCTCCCCCTCTCCTTTCCCCTTCGCTGAAGCAGAAGACTCTTCTCCATACTGTAATACGATTTCCCCACACACACACACACACGCACGCACAACCTTATAGTCAGTCCTGGTACAGCCGGCACCCTGTGCTGAGTGGTCGGCTTGTTAATCAGCTGGACAGGAGCACCTGACATTTTGATGCCGGAGTATTGGGAGTGCCAAACAATTGGGTGATGGAGTATTGGACTGCAGAGGATTACTGAGGAAGTAGCTACTAACAATGCTGCAGAAATCAAATTGGGGTAAATCTCTTTTCAAACTACATAGAGGCCTGACTCTTACTTACTTCAAGTGAATAGACTTGGTCATCTAGCTCAAGCGGTAAAGACTCAAGGTTCTTGGGGACAGTCCTTACACCTGTCACCCAAACAAGAATGTTATCTTACAAAGTAAAGAGTCAGGATCCTGAAGTCCTTAAGTAATTTGCAGCAACCTAACATTCCTACTAACTAATAGGAATTACCTAGCTGTTAACCAATTTAAAGCTCACCAGAATAAATTTGAATAATTTTCCAACAGGAGAACTACATACACTGAACTAAATGTTTCTAATTTTTCCAAAGTCAGCACATCTCAGATTAGAAAGTACGTGAACCTGAGCCTAAACTTTGTCTCCATTTACGTCTAGTACTGAAGCTATGCTACTGATGCAGAAATATCAACCCACTTATTTTTTTAAAAAATATATTTGTCTTGTAACAAAATACTGAATTTTTACAGGATATCACAAACAAGAGAGACTCCAGAAATCCATACTGAGCTACCTTGTAACTAACTAACCCCCCTTTACTAACTAAAGTGAACCCCCATCTTATGCTCCATCCCCCTTTAAAGTGAACCCCCATCTTATGCTCCATGACTAATGAAGAGCAAAATGTTGATGCTGAATGGCCTAAAATTAGGATAGATCAGGAACCTCTTATTAGAGGTTCCCCCATAACAATGAAACTGAATTCTGAACACTGGTATCCTAACTTCACTGATTAACAGAGCCCCTATTAGTGAGAGAAAGCAATCTGATGCAGTGATTAAGCTCTCTCCCTCAATGACAGTGTGCCAGTATAGGCACCACAAGTGATATGAGATATATGGGTGATCATCCTTCATTCTGAAGCTACTCTGTAGAAGTAACCTAACAGCATTACTATTCATGCATCTCAGACTGAGGCTGCAGATCGTTTATAAGCATGACTAAGAGAACTTGGCATACCACAAGTGCTGCTAATGCACTCAAGGCTGGTGTTGACAGTCTCTGAGGAGAGAGGAGAGAAAATAAATAGAATGCTACATCTCTAATGATTCAGTCTGACTAATCTAACAAGAAGCCAGAAAAGCTAGTCTAGAAGACTGCATTGGTAGAATAAATGCAAAGTATAGGGTAAAGCAACTTTCTATCTTTATTTTACCTTTCAAACAGTGTGTTTAATAGCATGTATGGAATGCAGCTTTGCAGTGACTATATACTAAATTTAATATAAGAAAATAAATTAGTTTTAAGTTCTCAACCTTTCTAAGCCCGAAGTTACTGATCTATTAGAGCCGTTGTTTCTGTTATCCATCTTACACCTTTCTAATGAACTATTTGCAGCTATCGGGCTTGGTCTATTCTCTGGCTTTCTCTTGTGGCTTCTGTAGAGAGGTATGAAGAACTTAAACCAGTACATTCCTATGCGCTCTCCATTGACTTCTCACTCTGGTTTTTGTTTCTGTTGTTTTTTTTGTTGTGCGGTTTTTGTTTTCCAGCTAAGGAAGTTGTATAACTATCTGGTTTTTGTTTCTGTTGGTTTTTGTTGTTGTGCGGTTTTTGTTTTTGTTTTCCAGCTAAGGAAGTTGTATAACTCCTGCATTTTTTTTTAACAATGCTTGCTGCTTTGCATGAGAGCATCTTAGTGGTTCTCCTGCCCTCTATTGCTTGCTTAGAAATAGGCCATAGAACTCTTATACAGTCTACTTACTATGCTCTCTTTCCAGGAAGAGGTTGCAGAGGCAGTGTCCCACATGTCACTTTCAGCAGCAGTGCCAACATCTACCCTACCAGCTGTATCTTCAGAAGAACGGAAGGAAAGGTGGGAGCAAGGCCAGGCTGACTACATGGGAGCAGATTCCTTTGACAATATCAAGAAAAAACTTGACTCCTACCTCCAATAGAAGCGCTTCTGTTGCTGATGTTCAGATACAAGAACTTGTTCCAGAGCTATAGCATCTAGGAAAGTGTTTAAATATGGTCAGTTAAGCTTGCTAGTCGTTTGATAAAACTCATCAGGCTGAAGGTATTTGCAGTACTACAGGTGAGAACTGAGCAAAAGGGATAGAGTAGAAATCCTTGTGCCAGCTGTACCTGCAGAATCCTGAAGTCTTCCCTTGTAAGTAAGACTGCTGGATGTGCCTAGTTTAAACAAAAAACCACACTTCGAACAGGGGCACTAAACTGGTTAGACACTTATTCCTTAAACCCTGTAGGGCTGTGCTTTCTCTTTTAAAAGAGGAGTGGCATCACTCCTTTTTGCTTGCTATCTTGTACAGAAGACCCTATTTTGTGGGCGATTGTTTAGAATTGAAGTGGTTGGAACACTGCCTTACTGTAAATGTTAGTACTAAACTGTTAGCATACAAACTTAATAGAACTTCTAACAACAAAGGCAAGGCTTTACTGTATTAGTCTCACACTGAAGGTCTTGAGCTGGTTTTATGTACAGTATATGCAGCATGATAGAATCTTTCTTTAGTTCTATATACTATGGGACTAGTAAAACTGAGTTTTACCTGTAATTGCATTCATTGCAAAATAAACTCATGATGCATTTCTGGTTTCCCTAACTAATAATCTTGAGCCATTCTAAGAAATATTGGATACATCTGCAAAGGTCTCAAAGTCCTGACTGCTAGAAATGGGAGACCACTGCAGTAATTAAACTCCTTGTAGGCTCATAGAATAGCTTGTGAATTTAATGGACTTCTTTATTTTGGGGACAGTAAAGCTACGGTCTACACTACGAGTTTTGCCAGTAGAGGCAATGCAAATGAAGCGCAGATATTTTCTGCTGATCCGTATTTGCGCTAGGGGTTTTTGCGCAAAAAGGAAACGTCCACACTGCTTGTTTTTGTGCAAAAATAGATCGGAAGCGAGTGCGCAAATGAAGCATGAGGAAAATGCTAATGCATGCTTTATTTGCATTGCCTCTTCCGGCAAAACTCGTAGTGTAGACGTAGCCTAAGAGTAGCTATTTTGTTGGCAGTGGATGGATAGATAGTGGTGGCAGCATAAAACATGTCTGCAGGTCAGACTAAGAGCAAAGGAGTCCTGTAGAGAATATGTCTTGAAAGAGGTCTGTGTGGCTGACAGTCTGAGTTCCAAAGGATCTCATCTCTCAAAGATAAACCAAAAGTTCTTCAGAGTGATGGCTCATACAGGAGGTCTGCCCCCTCCGCTGCCCTCCAGTAGGAAGATCAACAAAGTAGCCTACAAGAGCTGTGAAGGACCAGACATGGAAGGAGACTTATTCCCTGGCCTTCAAAAAAAAAAAAAAAAAAATCTTAAAGGGTTCCCTAGAGAGCCCTGTTGCAGACAGTAAAAGCTGCCATTGCTTTGTGCAAACCCAGGTCTTAAGTCCAATAAACCAAGTTCTAGCACAGCTCCCTCATGTAAATTTTCCCCAATAGACAATAAAATGCCACATACTCATGCATGGAGTAAGACAAAACTCAAATGGGCATGCCTCACCTACTCCATTAGCAACTGCTGACCTGCAAGGCAACAGGTGAGGCAGTATGTGGCAGGAGCACAGGCACTGCAGTAGAGCCTTGTATAGTTCCAAGCACATGTCAGCTTCATGGAGTGTGGGGAGGAGAGGAGAAGTGGAAGACAAGCCACATCTCTGTAAAAAAGACATTCATGCACAATGTCAAGGATTTAAACCATCACTCCAACTTTCCTTTGACTCCTGCCTCTTCAACTAGTCCATATCTGCCTGTATCTTTGGATGCAGCCACTAGCACTAACTTGCAGTCACCAAGTCATTCTACTATGGTAGTGTCTGGTCACTGCTCTAATATTGCCTTCGGGGAGGTTCCCTTACTCAAGATGTAGTGGAGGGTTCAGGCTAACTACTATTTTGACATAATTCCAGTTGGTAGCTCTACTGAGTTTAGCATCCTGCTTAGCAGAATGAGTGGGACTGGAGTTTGCCATCATTTGTAGCAGGACTAGCATCATTCTCACCAGTCCCCTGCCACCAGTAAACAATCCCACAAAGGATGTGCTATCAGGAGTGGGTAATAAAAAAAAAAACAGCTCACAGCATGTGTTCCTGCTGGCCTACTGCCACTGTTTACCTGTACCTCTGCAGGTATCAGGATCACAGCATTGGCTGGCTGCAACTCACTGTTTGCAACCAATGCAAACAGCAGGAAGCATCACATGGCACGCTGCTTCCTACCATTCACATTGGCCACGAACGGCAATCCACAGCCAACCACAGCTGTGATACTCCGATACCTAGAGGCACAGGTAAACGAGGTCAGGCCTGCCAGGGACTAACCCTGCATACAGGATCCAACCTGTGGGCAGGAATTTGCCCATCCCTGCTTGCTGTAGAGATAAAGTCAGTAGTATATCAACAGCATCCATCTCTGTGCACTGATTTATTTACTGCCTGAATACCATGATACTAGCATGCTGGGTCTGTGTATATAGCTTTTGGGTAGCATGTTTGTCACTGTACTCTTGCCAATATATGGGTGCACAGTAGCTACAGCAATTGTTCTGCTTTAAAATAGCAGAATGTTCAATACCAAAATTGTTTATGTAGCTTTAAGTGAATATCTAATGCTTTGTGATCTTAAATCATAGAACTGTGCTCCCTTTTTAATGGAAGTCTGGTGTGAACCTATATGAATCTCTGTATATAAAAGCATCTAATTTTCAGTTCAGTTCCCTTATCTGAAATGGAAGGGGCAAATATCCGAGCAGACTGTATGCAATGATTTTTTTTTTTCAGTATAAGAAAGGAGCCAGTTAAAAACCTTGCCAAAGAGTTGGATGGCTAAGGAATGGTGAAGTTAATTTTATTTCCAAAGGTGTTTAACAAAGGACTGTACTCTCAAAGCATAGGCGCTTTTCTATAAGATATGTTCATGCTACATTTGACCACATTCACTAAGCAAGCTGAGCCTTTGTACATTTTCCACAGAAAAGACAACAACCAACTTTTGTTAAGTGGCTCTTGTGTTTGAAACAACCACCCTTAGGCATGGTAGATGCAGAATACACAATCAGAATTTACATGAATTCAGTAGTATGGTTCTAGGTACAATGTAAATTCTAACTAAAAGCAGAGGTGCTTGAAGTACGTTATTTCCAAATTGACAACTAATGAAGCTTTTGACCTAAAAGCTAACATGGGAGTTCTAATTTTAGTAGTCTTCCCTGAAAAATAGTTAGTGGCTATAAATATTTTAAATAAATGTTTCTGCTTAATAAAAGGCTATTCTACATCACCGCTCCAGGAAACGAGAGAGCAGAAGCAGTGTTTACTGTCCTCCATTTATACCTGATAGTAAATCACTCAGTAGTCTGAAAATGTCTTAAGTATGAGCTACCACTGTTGTAGACTGCAACTTCAAGCCATAGTTATAACTCAGTGAAACTTAAAAGGTCTATTGACCCAGCCCTGAAAGAAAGGCACAGCAATTTAGCATGGAGAGCTTACAGTCTTTGCAAAATCCTAGGAAAACATTTAAAATGTATTTAAAGTACAGGAAACCATTTCAAAATTGACACTACAAACTTGTATCTTGACTAGCCAGAAACTACCATGATTTTAGTTCACTATCCACACCATGTGAACAGACAACTACATTCCTAGCCTCTACTGGTTCAATGATATTTCCAACATACAGAAGATGAAAATATTTCAACTACTCTGATCTTTTAGGTATCACCAGAGTAGCAGCCTTTCTATTTCAATTCTTGCAGTGAGATAGGGCCTCAAAATGCAGGTCTCAAATTTTAACACTTAAGTTAAGGTATAAATGTCTTAATTCTGCTCTTAACATATGGAAAAAAGCAGTGTAAAAGCTGAACAAACGTTACCTGCAGTAGTATTTTAAGCTGGCCAGGAGGTGTACTAATTGTTCATGAACCATTTTCCAAGTTTTAATATTTCAGGGGCAAATTCAGTCTTCCTATCACACTTTAATGCTGAAGTCAGATGCTCACCATAGCAGCGGGCAAAAAGACGTAATACAGTTCTGTGCTCTTTCTTGCATGTTTTCATGCAACCATATGTTCTCTGTGCTTACATTTTTTTTTTTACTTATACCCCTTGCCAGCTGATGTACATAGTTTGTCTTTGCAGAAAGTATGCCACTTTTGCCAATGAATCTTATTGATCCATATTGTGAGTTAGTATCGGCTGGTGCATTGTCAAACTGTATCACCTTAGTGTGTTTTCATATGTCTGACATGAAAGTGCAAAGAAAAAAAATCACTGGTCTGTCACATTACCACAAGAATCTCAACCTTCCTTGGCTATTGTCAGTGATTTCAGCAGCTGCTTGTACAAAGCACAATATTTGAAGTGTTCATGGTGTCTACAACCATAACATAGGGGCAAGGACTAAGCCTCTGGCAATGGGCATTTAAATTAGTATTTAATATTTCCCAAATTGGCATTGCATTTTTTCCTATGAATTACTGATGGACTATCTTCCAGAATCAGACAAAAGCCTGATTACTCTTTCTTTGGCATCCATGGACACTTGAAAAATATCATGACCACCTATGATATGATGATCAGGTAGATTGCTTAAAGTAGACTTTTTGAAGCCATCTGTATCCCTAAATTACTTCTATTGAAAGCTGCCTCCATTGTGCAGCATGTGGCAAACCACAATCAGTTCAGAGTTTGATTTCCAGAGTAATGCCATGCTGCATTAAACTAAGGGGGCCTAGCACCTTATCTTCAACAGTGAGCAGTATGGTACTGGATTTTTAAGAGGAAAGTGCAAAAATTTACCCATCATGTACCTAACCCTGTAATGGTTTAGCACAAAGAGACTTATATGATTATGCTTGTGATCAGCTGCTGAGTAAGCTTCATTGTACCTAGTATAACAGCAGATGTTTTATTTAGCTAAATGTCTAATCCTTTAAGATTAAACTTTTGGTCTTGACTTTTGTGTAAGAGGGCAAATCAGTGACTTGGAGGTTTGCTCTACCGTGACACCCCATTCTTATATCTGGGACATTCTATTCCATACCTCAGTACAGGCAGTCCCCGGGTTACGTGGATCCGACTTATGTCGGATCCGCACTTACGAACAGGGCTTTTCTCGCCCTGGAGGATGCGGGCAGCAGGACCGCCCGTGTCCTCCAGGGTGAGAAAAGCTGCTCCGCATCTCCTTGGTCTGCTGGGCCCCCTCCCAGCAGACCAGGGAGATGCGGAGGACTGGGGTGGTGGGACCGTGGCGCGTCTCAGTCCCGCCTCCCGTGTCTCCCTGGTCTACTTGGGTGGGGGCATGCAGCTAGTGGTTGTCCCCCCGAGCAGACCAGGCTTTTCTCGGGATGCCTGGGGTTCTTAAGTTGAATCTGTATGTAAGTCGGAACTGGCGTCCAGATTCAGCCGCTGTTGAAACTGATCAGCGGCTGATTCCAGGAAGCCCGGGGCAGAGCAACTCTGCCTCAGGCTTCCTGTAGTCAGCGCTGGTCAGTTTCAGCAGCAGCTGACTTGGGGATGCCTGGGGTTCTTAAGTTGAATCTGTATGTAAGTCGGAACTGGCGTCCAGATTCAGCCGCTGTTGAAACTGATCAGCGGCTGGTCAGTTTCAGCAGCGGCTGAATCTGGATGCCAGTTCCGACTTACATACAGATTCAACTTAAGAACAAACCTACAGTCCCTATCTTGTACGTAACCCGGGGACTGCCTGTATAGGCAATACTGATATAGTCAGTGGAGCTTCCTGGGGCTAGACGTGTGGTTTCAGGTCTTCAATGTCAGAGAAGCAGTTTGATTCAGCAAGTTCAGGAAGGCAAAGGCCTGGGCTAAACTGCTATTTGTAATCACTACAAAATATATACACCCACTTGACCAGAAGCACTCAACACTCAGCCACAATTTTTTTCTACTGCATTCCAGGAACAAGGAACTCAACTGTAAATAGGTATGCCCACATAGCAAAGAAAAACCCAGGGCTAGCCCATGACAGCATAATTAGGATTGCATGAACCCTCTAATCCCACAGGGTCTTAGAGACGAGACAACATCCCAAACTCAGAAGTTGAGACAGCAATGAACCATAGAAGCACAGTCCAGCTGGGGGTGTGTAGATGTACCCAATGAGGCTATTAGTCATTTCACTATCTAATGCCCAGAAAGTAGTCACAATTCTTTGTTATTGTTGGGCCCTCATAGCTCAGGACAAATTAAAGGTAAAAGACTGATGAGGAAAGGCATAAAAATAGCACCAATTTGTGTGTAACCTAGTGAGGGAGGTCAGTTTGTTTTGGGAAGGAGTGGGGGGAGGAAAAGGAAAGTTAGTCAATGTTAAACCCATCTAAGGCAGAAGTAAAAATTATTTTCTAATTCTAAGGATGTTAAGAAAGGGGCAGTCCACTAATCATGTAGTTAAACATTTTATCAAAGGCTTTCTCGGTCCTGGCTCTCAGTGTGTCCAGGACTGAGCTGGAATTGCTCATTCCCAGCTTGGGCTGGGTCCAGCAGCCCCCTGCCTTGCCTGTGTGTGGTGCTGCCTGCTGGACTCCAACATGCTTTTAAGCTAGCTCCCCTCCCACCTTGCTACCACTGATACAGAGGCAGCAAAGTTGAGGGGAAGCATGTAGTCCTTACTTCTGACCACACTAACCAGATCCACACATATATCAAGGAAAATCTGACTTGCCCAAAGGCATAACTACTACATAAGGAAGATCTACTTCGATATACTTGTTCTACATTTATTTCAGCATGAAATAGAATGCACCAAGTTTATACAATGGGCATATGAGAGACTTGCGGCTGAGTAGAATCACACTTCTTATTCAAATTGCAAAGAACAAGAGCGAGATTAAGAGTCATCACTGTGAAACAATTTTTTAGGCTTTTTTACTGGTGGTGATAGAAGTGGCTACTGTGACTCCCTTGTGTCTTGCTCCACACATCAAGGCAGCATCCAAATTGTCAGTTCTTCCTCTAACATCTCTAAAATCTTGTGTCTCTGACCTCATAGCTAATATTCTCATTCAGGCCTTCATCTCCTCAACCACTTCCTTCGTAACAACTTATATTAAGCTATAACTCAATTTAAAACAAAGCCATCAAAGTTGTCACCATATAACTCCTGAGTTTAACTACTCTTCATTTCACAAAATTAAAGCACATTGTCCTCATCTCCAATGCCCTTTCAACTTATCTGTACTTGTATCTTTGTCGTATTCTCATCTAGTTCTTCCCCTCCATCCTTTGTGCATAAAATGACCACCCCAACCTACTCTATGAAGGTCCTACTATCTTCTCCATATGGTTCATTTGTACACGAAGACCTGTATCAACTGATAAAAGCTTGGTAGAAGGACAAAAGGTACTGAAGATCCATTTAAATATATTACAACAATTCAAAACCATACATTCATGCAAATAACTAGGTAAATATGAATGACCAGTTAACTTCATCCTCCCTCCCCATTTCATATTATTGTTTCTTACAATCACTTATGTCCTATTTTCTTACTCACTTATGCAGCACCTATCTACCACCACAGGGCTCTGATGAGTGCCTTGGGCACTGTGATAATAAATAAATATTGCTAACATCATGGAATTGCCAATTGTGTTTAGTAGCCCTTCCCCTTAGCACAATTAAACCAGAAGGAAAAATACAAATATAAAATAATAGACCCAAATCCATTATATCTGAACAAAGTAAGGACTTCCATCCTTTACATTTAATTTTAAGAATTTAAATTATTCATCCAAAGACAATATTATTGGATGTGCAGTTGCTGTTCAGTTACAATTTTGCACTAGCACCCAGAATACTGAGCCACGTGACAGCAAATGGAAAGTGGAATACATCAAAAACAAATTTTGACCCCTTTCCTGTTACAAGGAACCTTTCTTGAATTTTCTAAGTCCAAACTAGTTGAGCCAAGCATCAGGCAGCACGGGAGCAGTAAGGAAGCACATGTCTGAGGAACAGAGAAAACTGGGAGGAGGCAGGTAGAAGGAGTGATATGCAACTTCAGCTTTTTGTACTAAGTTTGAAAAAACAGAACTATAGATTTTTATTAAACTGCCTCTTCCCCTGGCAATCAAGTTCTAGACAGATCAGTCTTCCATATGGCATCTTCCAACTTGGATATACAAAAAAGTATTTAGAGATGGGAAAACTTATTACAAAGCTTCTAACTACTTTAAAAAATTATTTTCCAATGTCCAAATGGGGTTACAAAACAAGCACAACATATTCTGTACGTTGAATACAGCAAAACTATATATAGTGGCAGATTCCAAAATCCAAACACATAGTGATAGCACGAATACCAAACTAGAATTTGCATGTTCTTTCCCACACAGTAAAATATTTTTATATAGAATTACTATCATCATACAATTTTCATACACTTATATGGAATTCTGTTTAAATGAAGTTAACACACTAAATGTAAATATTTACATGAATAGTTGAAATAGTTCACTTTGACAAAATCCTGGATCCCCAAAGGAACATTCATTCCCTGATGCACAGAAAGTGTCTTCCTATAAGTTTTACTTCTAAAATATTTAGAACTACCTGTACAGACTAACAAAAAATAAATCCATAAATTAAAATCAGTCTTCACAAGGAGTTACCATGTTTTTAATTTTGCAATTACTATAAAACATCAGTCCTGAAATACGAGCAAGACCTGATTGGTTAAAAGAAAGTTTATGTTCTAGTCTGCATTTTATTTACATTTGTAATGCTTCCATTTTTTGGGGGGTAGATGATCATATTTTCAAAGCCAGAAAAATAAAATTTGCATTTTCATTCTAGAAATAGGTCAGTATCTAGCAAGTAATATTTCACAGTAAAATAAGTTATATATTTCTGCTGAATTTTTGGTCCATTTCTCAAACAAACTACTTTGTGACTTTATAGGTTCAATGTGTACAAAAATATTTAAAGTATTTTTTTAATTAACAAATACTCAAACCAATTTTTATTCTTGTTGGATAATTTGACAGTCTACATTCTATCTGCCACAGTACTTTAACAGCATCATAATAAACATACATGGAGTATGGGCACATAAAAACTAATGCCACTAACTATAGTTCTATATCCTTTATTCAGAAAGCATGAGTGACCTACCCTCTTACAAAATTATAAATCAATCAGTGTCTTAATTTCATTGATCTTGGTTTGTTTTACTTCACTAGCAGTAGGCTTTTTAGCTGCAAAGGCTCCTGCTGCAAGTTCCCTTTTCTTGTTCTGGATTTTCAGCATATTTTCTTCCACCGAATTCTTCACAATGAACTAACATACATTAAAAAGAAAAACAAAGTAAAAAGCAGACATTTTCAAAAACAGGTGTCTAAATGTATGCACTTAAGTAATGAACTTGAATTATTCTTTACTTAGCACATTTGAAGTCAGGTCACTTATTTGAGTACCTATCAATGGATTTCAAAATACAGGCCCGTATTTCTGAAAAATTTGCCAAATACTGTAACACTCTAAAGTGTGGCTCTATCATTAATCTACTTTGCCAATTTAGAAAGTGGCAGAGTAAATAGACAAATCTTGGGTCTTGGGGAGAGGCACAATTTCTCTTTTGCCTCCATTTTGATTATTAAAATAACACATTCTTCCTCCTTGAACCAGACATCACAAGAGGAACAATTCAATTTTCCCCAGTTTCCTAAATGTGATCCCCCCCGCCACCTACCTCCTCTGAAGAGCCGTGCAGCAGGTAGCTGCTCCCGCAGGGTGGGGCTGGCTGAGACAGCATTGTGAGGGAGCCGCTGGGGCGTGGGAGAGGATGGAGGAGGGGGGGGAAGGAATGATTGGCTAGTGAAGAACAGCAGGGACAAAAGGGAGAAGACTTGGGTCCCTCCCTAAAAAGACCAACACACTTGGCTGGCTGAACAATAACACGCCTAGAGACCTACAGAGCTTGGTTGTGTCTAGCCTCTATTTAGGTGTCAGGAGCATGAAACACCTTGGGAATCCAGAGCACAGAAACTCAGATTCCTCTCTCAGCAGTTCTAGTGAATGGCCAGGAAGGGACTGTCTACACAGCAGGACAAAAGTCGAATTAAGCTATGCAACTTCAGCTACGTCAATTGCGTAAGTGAAGTCAAAATAGCTTAATTCGGCTTTTGGCGCTGTCTACACAGCAGGAAGTTGAAGGAAGAACACTCTTCCTTCAACTTCCCTTACTCCTCATGAAAAGAGGGTTACAGGCAGTGTTTTCTCTAAGATTTTCCAACCACGAGTGGAGTGAGTTTTGGCTTGTGCACCAATATTGAGGTCGTGTGTGCTGGTTTGTTGTTCATGTCACAGTGGCACCCAATTTATTAACACTGCCAAAGCAGAAACCACCCTCCTCTCATGCAACAGGTCCCGTTCCTACAAGCTGGAGCAGACCCTCCCCCTTTCTCCCCACGTGCCAGTCCCTTTCTCAGCTGCTGAAGCAGACCCTGACTTCCTCTCCCCCTCGCCATGTGGCATGTCCCATTCCCAACCACCAGAACAGACACCAGCCCCCGCCCATGCGGCAGGCCCCATTCCCAGCCGCCAGAACAGGCTCTGCCCCTCCCCCTGCCATGTGGCAGTGGCAGCCCCAGCCACCGGAGAAGGCCTCTCTCCCCCACACCCCAGTAGCTCCCTCACAATGTGGTCTCAACCAGCCCCACCCTGCCGGAGCAGCCACCTGCTGCAAGGCTCTTCAGAGGCGGTAGGTGGCAGAAGAATTTTTTGTATGCAGCTGCGCAGGCACACACCTTAGCGGGAATACTGGTTACAGGAGTCAGAGTAAGAAGTCCTCCAGCTTGCCATTATTTCGAAATAATGGCTTGCTGTGTAGATGCACATTTTGTTATTTCAAAATAACGTCAGTTATTCTGAAATAACGCTGCTGTGTAGATGTACCCAAAGAGATGCTTGATGTGACAAAATGGTGGTGTTGTAGTAATACATGAATATTTTAACAACACTGTTACAAGGGCTTATTCTTTTGCTCTTCAAACTGAAAGCAAGAGTGGTCTGTTCATTTGTCTTCAGTAAAAGCTATTTAAAAAGCACAATTTACAAGTAGCTCCTGAAGAGCAGCTTCTAAGCATATATACAGTGAAGTCTACCTGCTTCTGATCAGGAGAAATGGGAGTTGGTGGCCAGCATGCAATCATGTGCCATGAGGTACGATGGGTCACCTGCACCAAATTAGCAGACGGGGATGTTTCTTTTTCTCCTATAGGACATGCAGTGATAAAGTAGATGGGCCCACAAATAAACCAGCACAGGTATCTGCAGTGACTAATGGTACAGAGCTGTGGAGATTGGAAGAGACATGCCCAGGACCATTTCCTGGAGCTTGCTGACCTGGACAAAACAAGGCAACTCAAACAGGAGAAGAGGATCAAGTCATGCCCATGGGAATGAGGAGAAGGACAAAATCGTGTGCCTGATCAGAGTTAACATACAAATAGATGAGGCGATGATGGACACTATCACTCTGCCTGAAGCTGAATCACTATAAATACTAAAGTTTCTTCTGGTATTCTGAGTATGGGAAATTATTTTTCCATGTGTGTTTTCTGCAATAGAGTTGTACAGCGTTAAATCACGAAGTTGAGAGTACAAGTCCACCATGCCAGATTCTGTGGCTCAGGGGGCAAACTTGCCATCTACCCTCACCGTGGAAATTGAGTCAGTGCTGAGTGTGTCTGTGGCATAACTAAAAAGTGATGTCTCCCAGAATCTGCTGCGAGCAACAAGAAAACAGTACAGCTAGGAAATGCTATCGAACAGAACTCCTCTAGGAGTAGGGAAGATTACTAGGTATGGTGAAACACTGATACATCTAAAAAGTGCTGTGGACCAAAATGGCACTAGGAAAAGGGAAACTAGATAGGCCCTAAGGTGACATGCCTCAGAGCGACCCTAGAACAAGGTAGAGACTGGGGGGTAAAAATGCTGACATCCATGCAATTCAGTAAAGGATGGGAAAAACCCAGATAGGTCAGAACCAGTGCAGCAAGTGAATATGTTAATGAGAAAGGTGCCCTTTCATCTGTGGGCTTAGTAATCATGCGAGAAGGAAACACACCTCACCTCTCCCCAAGAGGAAATTAACATGGGAAACTAACCTATGACTGTATTTTAGTTTGAGTATTGGAACAGTTCACTAGCTACACAAATGTATGAAGCTCAAATTAATAAGCATTAATTGCTGATACCCTGTCCAGCCGGCTTAAAAGCCAGACCCGCTCCGCATGTAAAGGTGTATCAACTGAAACTTTCAGCGGGTACATGTTTACCAAAATAAACACATTTTAACATCCCTAGCTAACAGACTGGTGGTGACAGAAGAGCTGACACTAAGTTAGATACTAGTAAGTCATTCTCTTACTGGAGTCAGTGAAGGGTTAAGAAGGTGAATCACAGTTCCAGGCACCTTGAGAAACCATTACACCTATCCACCTTAAGATCTTAGCCCAGAACAAGCAAACCTGGCTCCAAAAATTAATGTCTCTTCAAAGAGAGAGGTCATATGCCATTTCTGCAACTTTCACAAAATTTCACAGTTCTGTAAGTGATGAAAACAACAAAGCCCAAGCTAACATTTCAAAACTGCAACCAAACTATAGTTATACTATTGCTATATCCTCCACCCAATTCTTTTAAATAAAGAGTTGTTTAAAAGAAAATCACTCCTATATCAAAATCACAGTTGTTCAGACAGCTCACCTTAGTGATAACAACATCTTGCTTCTGGCCAAGTCTGTGACATCTGTCAAAACATTGATCTTCTGCAGCAGGATTCCAAGCCTATCAATGGTACATGATCAATCAATCAATCTAAACTTTGTCTTGAACTATTTTAATTTTCAAAATTACACTTTCAGTACATTAAGACACCAAGATAAATTTTAAAAATGAATTCACTAAAACATGTTACCATACAATGAAGGCTTATAATAAAAGTAGCCATGTGATTAGGGTTGTTTATTTTACCAGTAACTATTGTTATTAGGGCATGTGACAAGACCACACTATTTTATGTAAGGAAATAGGGCGAATTTTAAAAATGCAAGTAAAAAAATCATTAAAAAATTCAACAAAACCATGGATAAGTTTGTGATCAGGACCAGCAAATTTCAGCAAGACTCCACAAATGAAAAGTTCACTTGGTTCATTTACGCAACCAGATCTCTCTTTTGTCTTATTCAGAACAAATACTCCATTGAGAGGGTTCACTCATTACTACCAGGCTACACTCCACTCAGCAGAACAGACATTGCTGGAAGGTTTCTGTATATAATGTACAAGAAGGAAATTAACAGTGTGCAAAAAACATTGATGAGAAATTTGTTAATCTGAGCCTTGATGGGTGCAGCAATGTACAAAATGATTTAGTAATATGTACTTGCATGACACAAGAAGATGGGGTTTTTCTATCTTCCAGAAAAAAAATGATACATCAGGAAATGTCCACACACAGCAGAGTACTTAAAAAAAAGGTAGTAAAAGCTGTTACAAAAAGTGAACAAAAATTCAAGTGTGAAGCACATAGCTTTGTCACAGACAATATTGCAAATGTAGCAAAGATGAGCAGAAGAAGCAGGAACCTGAAATGTATATAGGTGCAGTGCTCATTTGATTCATTTTATGGCTAGAGACTTAAGTACCACTCCAGGAATGAATGAAAATGTTGATGAAATTGAAAATACTTTACCACTTTTCTTCATCTTCACCGAAGAGAGCAAGATCCAAATTAAATTCTCCTCTATTGTGTACAATGGAATTCAGTGGCTGACTGCCTTTAACTTATTAAAAACTTTCCTATTTTGATGTCAGTTTGTGATGAAAATCAGAATAAAATAGATGGAATTATCATGGGCAAAGTAGCCTATATCACACACTAAATGGAAATGTAGAAGATATGCTGAATGTTGTGAAATCTATTTTCACTGCCTTAGACAAACTGCAGAAAGTTTCAATTGACTGAAAAGAGACATCTAACAACAAAAATTAAATTGCATGCAGTAAAGATGGTGGATCAAGCACTTACTCCACCTCAATTTCTTGCTAATATTATCAACTCAAAATATAAAATAGATGTCTGACTATTGAAGAGGATGCTGCTGCTATGACATTGCATCTAATCCAATCAATCATGCCAACTATAACAGATTTCAAGGCTGGAGTGAACCATTCAAGCAATACATGTTTGCTAAAGATATTTTAAAGAACATCACACCAAACTTGTGTAAGTCCTTGGCTAAGCACCTGGACCTGGAGTTTATTGAAGTGCTAAGCTTTTGACAGCAACAGCCACTTCTGCAGACAGACAGAGAACATTTTCTTCATTTGAACTAATTTATTCATAGTTGAGAAACTGAATGGGAGCTGGAAAAAAAAAGACATTTTTCTCTCTTCCAGTCTATAAATAAAACGAAGGAGGGGATTAGATTTACTAGTTTTAAAAGTTTAAACAACAGCCTAAGTAACTTAAGAGACTGTGATTTCATTTTCAAGAGACTAAAAATATAGGGGAATACCATAGTACACAAGAGAAGCAGACACTCCTAAGGAGTTCATCTTACAGACATTACATCAAGAAACAATCTGGGGCAGGTGACTTCGCTCTACCCATTATGCCACCAGTGGGGGGGACAAGAGGATATAGAAGCAGTCCCAAAAGAATCTGCTGGCCAAAAAAAATCTGATCTCATGCATCCTGGGTGTATGTGCACCAAGAATGGACTCTAGTTGCTCTAACAGCAGAAGAGAGTTGTGCTAAACCTAAAGATGCTATAGACTAGCATTTCTAAAACTGAAGTCTCTGAACCTCTGAGGGTCCATGAGGAAATTCTAGTGGGCCTCTGGACCCCCTGATCAATTCCCACCCTGCCTTTCTCCCTCAAGTGCTTCCTAGGGCCCATATTCCACAGTTAAGGCAGGCTTATCTGCCCTGGTTCCATTTGGCTCATAGAAGCAGTCACCAGGTGCCTGCAGCCTCTAGGCACTTGGATAGCCAGGGAGGCACCAGGCCCAACCCTGGCCCAACTGCTGGCTCTACAACTCCCACTGGCCAGGAGCTGTGACCAATAGGAGCTACGACCAATAGGAGCTACAGGGGCAGAATCTATGGATGCTAGGCCAGCAAGTGGTGTCTCGCTGGCTGCCCACACACCTAGGGGCTGCAGGGGCCTGGCAGCCACTTTTTGGGTACTGCAATAAATGTTGCTGGCACCCCAAACTCCCTCCTGCAACCCAAACCCCTCACTCCCAGCACCACCTCAGATCCCTCATCCCCCATGCACCCAACCCTTTGCCCCAGCCTAGTCTCCCCTAGTCCCACCCCAGAGTCTGCACTCCCAACTGGAACCCTTACCCCTGCCCCCTCCTGCCCTCCAAGCCTCTGTCCCAGGCCAATGAAAATGAGTGACGGTAGGGAAGGGCAAGCAACAGAGAGAAGGGGGATGAAGCAAGCAGGAAGAGGGGGTTCCTGAAAATTTTAAAACTAAAATGGGGGTCCTTGGGTTGCTAAAGGTTGAGAACTGCTGCTATAGACTGAAAGTGGCTCATGCACAATCTCAGTCAGCTGGTACTCTGCAAGCTGGTAGAAAAAAATACAGGATTTCTCCATTCAAACTCAGTGCTATCTCTCTCTCTCTCTGACGCCTCTCAAATAAGCAACTGTGCTAGGAAGCAGGGGACAAAGAACAGACAAACAAAAGAGGATTAAAAATACATAAAAATCAACAGAAAATAAAGGGCAGTACTTAATTTCAGTACTTTATATGAAGTTTCACTAAAATCAGACTTTTAGCAGCCAGCTCTACTATTATTGCACAAGTAGTTCGGCCTTTTCCAATTTTTCTTTAAAAAAAAAAGAATACGAAGAGTGTTATGTTGCCAAAGACAGACATAGAAAAAGGAGAGAATGTCTTACCTGCCCCTCCTCCAGATATTTCTGATGTCATTGACTCTTAGGGCATGTTTATACTGTGCCAGCTGACAAGGCTCCAATCCAAATCAGAATATCTATGCCACAATTAAAAAGTTCTTTTTCCCAAGCCTTGAGAGCCCAAGTCAGCAGACATCAGCCAGCACTAGATTTTTAATCGTAGCACAGGTTTTACACCTTCCTAAATTTCTGAGGGAACTGCAACTAGTTTTGCACAGATCACTGTCAACATACTCTGGTCATCTGAAGAAGTGGGCTGTGCCCACGAAAGCTCATGATACCATCTACATGTTTTGTTAGTCTATAAAGTACTACCAGACCATTTGTTGTTGTTTTTTTAACATACCACAGTTAAGCCTATTACTTACAGGATCCATTAAAAACACTTGTGAAGCAGCTGTTAGATTTAAACCAACTCCACCAGCTTTTAGGGACAGCAGCATAATGGTCGGGGACCCTGCATGGCTGTCTTGGAAGTGCTTAATTGCTTGTACTCTTTTCTTCCGTGTCATGGTTCCATCCAAACGAGTGAACACAAATCCTGATTCTCTGCAAAAGGAAAAACATTTATCAACCTTTGTGACAACAGGAAATACATATATTTACAAGCCTAACCTCTTCTGCGAAGTTTAAAAAGTTATGCTTTTAAGTCAAAACAGAAATTGAGATACATGGATCTATACCACTAGACAAAAAGTAATATGATTCACTAACATTCCAAAAGGAAAGCACATTTTGTCTATGAAATATCCATTTTAAATAAAATGGACATTTCAGCCACTGGGAGGTACAACATTTTAATTAGTTCAACTTACTTCAGTGGAGTTTCTATTAGAGACAGGAAAGTGGTGAACTGTGAAACAATCAGACACTTTGCAGCTGGATTCTGCTTCCTTAGGTCTATCAAAGCATGCATTAGAGCACTGATCTGAAATGCCAAAAATTAAGACTTATGCAGCAGGATTATGATCCCAGTTCTGTGGATATACTTCAAAGCTTTATACTTAACTACTGTACTGTGTTAATAATTGATAAAATCGATTAATTGAATTAGCCTTTAATAAACAGGGTAGTTCTAAAGAAAATGTGTTTTTTAGAACAACTCCTCAAAAGAAAATAAGGATTGGACAGTTTTTATGGTTACATGGTGGCTAGTGGGAGGTTGGCAACATTTAGAGAAAGAACTTCTTGGAGGAATTAGTATCAATCTAGTCTTGGTATCCAATGCATTTTTCTCCTACTAACAAGTGTCAATAACCTTCCTCAAGCAAGAAAGCATGCAAAGAGGAAAGCTATGGAGGGAAGAACCCAAAGCAATGAGACTGAGATGAGGTTCTGGGGGAAGTAGGGTTATAGAACGTGAGGAGGAAAAGGAAGATCAAAGATTCTCTTTTGACCTGAGAGGAACAAACAGTGACCTCTTCCACTTTTGTGCCCAAAGGCCAAATATACTTATTCTTCAGCTTCTATAATGGTCAGGTTGGAGATATTTTTAAGGGCTCTATATATATTGACTTTGAAAGGGAAGTAACTTTCTTTCAAATTCCAATTAAGTTTGGTAAAAAAGTCAAATTCTGCAATTAAAAACAAAATAAAAAAAGAAATCCCATGAAAGCAGGAAAATTTCTGATTTGGTAGTAAGATCCTTGCATGCTGACAAAGTTGAGACTAAATAAACAGACATAACCAGCTAGGTAAACTAGTGAAATGTTTCTTTATACAACATTTGTGAAATATAAACTGTGAAGCTCATTTATTTTTCATTCAGGAAAATTAAGAATTTTCTAAAGAAATGTATACATTCAACCATTTTTAAAAAAGTTAAAGATGATTTACTTTTAGAAGAGCACACATCTTCAAAAGAAAAACACATTAGGTTTTCTGCTTTTCTGCTGAAATATTTTAATTAGCACACTCCAACCCCGCAAACAAACCTTCCCTAAGGGAGTTTTTAGATCAACAACATGATTTAGCTGCAAATTTAAACCAATTTTCTGTTTTCATATTGCAACTAAGGCTTATGGTAGGATGAAAATTCTATTTTAAAGCACTGAAAAATATTTCTATGTAGCATGCTAGATTTCACTATACAAGACAGTGGGAAGTTACTTTTGAACTGGATATCCATTCCTGATCACCCTGCTTTGCAATACTAGGATTTGACTCCTCCAGAGGGCATTCTACCAAATGTTCGACTCGAAGTTCATTCCTACAAAGAGGACATTTGGCATTTGGCTGTTAAAAAAAAAAAAGTGAATTGAACATTAAGAAAAGCACTTTCTTCATTTTACATCAAATTAAGAGCATTTCCCCCGATAAAATAGATTTTCACTTGCACATCAAAAGAGTTCTAAGATTGCCATCATGAAGTACATTCACTGAAATTGAGGACTGCATTTTCATTCACACACGATTCATTTTTCCATATGATAGAACACCTCGAACCACGTGACAAGACACTGAAAAAGCAAAGTGATTGTATCTGCTACACCATGAAGTCTATACTCATGTTTCCATTCTAATACTATTTTACTCACATTTCTTTCAAAATTTCTTATTGAACTAACATATTTATGTTTGGAACAACCTAAATATGTTTATTTTTAAACTTTGAGCTAAGTATCATTTAATCTTCTAGAAAAGGAAGGGAAGAGAAAACCTCTTTGTATTCAAAATATCAGAAGCAGAAAAATAAACCACTTTTTAAAAACTGAGTTCTTACATCTAGAACACTAAGGAAAAGACTCCTCTCCTTGCAGTTAATCTTTTATGTTTTATTTTTAAAGTTATGAACATCCCTGCCCTTACGCTATATTTAGTGGCAGATATTCGGACACTGACTGTCACTATTATAGGTACAAATAACTAAAGACACAATTTTATGCCTGCAAATATTTGCTCTCACTGAAATGGAGACCTGGTTAAGGCCAGGCCAAGAATTTCTCTATTAACATTTCCATGGGGTTGCATTCAACACACACTGCATGGATGGTCTGTGCTGCAGGAATGAAGGGCAAGAGCCCTAGTTCACGGTCTCTACAGAAGGAAAGGAAAACTTTTATTTAAAAAAAACCTAACAATGGCTTTAACAAAGAGAACTTCTCTGGTTGAAGATTTTGACTGCTGAAATATGACAACAGAGAATGACAGCCATGTAAGAAATAAAGTGTTACAATTCTGATGATATAAAATTCAGCTCCCCCCCCCTCCTCTGGCAGTTGACTAATACAAGACTACTAAAATATAATAGTGAAAACCTATGTTGTTTGTGGTGTGGTAGCTGTGTTGGTCTCATGGATTTTTTTTTTTAGTACACCAAATAGGTAGTGGGGCCACTACGCAACAAATGTGTTAAAGGAACACTCAAGGAAAACAAGGCCATTTCAGAGGAAAAAAAATGAATACTTGGCATCAGTATTCACTACAGAGTATATGGGGAAAGATACTCACATCAGAACTATTATTTTGGGGCAACATATTTAAAGGACTGACCCAAACTGATGTGTTAATAGAAGAGGTTTTAGAACAAGTTAATAAACTAAACAGGGAAGTTTGCTGGACCAGGGGATACATGATTCAAAGATCTCTTTCTTGGGTGGTAATAGCAGATTTAGAACCCATCATTACGTATGAATAAAATTGGGATATTTTTTCCCACCGTTGATTACTCTGCCTTTATCAACATTGAATTTCATCTTCCATTTTGTTGGCTAGACACCCAATTTTACGAGACTCTTCTGTGAGTTCTAGCTGTTTGTTTCAGACTTCATTGTCTTGAATAATTTTGTATACTGTGTAAACCCCTCTGCTGGACCATGGATATTGCCTAACCAGAGAGCCCCTGGACCAGAGAACCCCAGGAGGTCCTCAGCAGGGAGGGACTGGTCACAAGGCCAGGAGCTGATGGACTCCAGGCTCTCCCAGGATCTGTCAGCAAATCGTCAGGCTCCTGAAAACTTCACCTCAATACATAGTGTCAAAAAGACTAACTGTTAGGAACTGTTACAAAAGGAACAGTAAGTAAGACAGAAAATATTATAAATGCCACTATCAATCCATGGTGTGTTCACAACCTTGAATACTGTGTCCAGTTCTCATTGCCCCATCTTGAAAAGGATACTGTGGAATTGGAAAACATTCACAGAAGAGCAACAAATATATATGTTCAAGCTTGGGAGGCTCAGGACATATCAGCCCCCAACCGCTTGGGGCTCCCAATCTGCAGCAGATCATCAAACACGCAGGGCAGCAACCAAGAGCCCAGGGCTGCTGGTGAATCACATGGGTCCAGAGCAGTCACCATGATTCGCCAGACCCTACAGTCAATTCAGTGTTCAAGTGTACACAGTGGCTTCTATACAAGGACAGACTAAGAAGATTATGGCTATTCAGTATAGAAAAGAGAGACACCTAAAGGGCAATATAATCGAGATCTATTAAAAATCAAGAATCGTGTGGAAAAGCAAATAGAGAAGTGCTATTTATGCTTTCACACAAAACACAAACTAGAGGTCATCCAATGAAATTAATAGGGAGCAGGTTTAATACAACAAGAGGAAGTACTTTTTCCACATGATGCACAACCCGTAGAACTTAGCAATGGGATGCTGTGATAGTGTAACAGTTCAAAAGTGTAATAGTTCAAAAAGAATGGACCAATCAATGGCCAAAAACCTGACAACCAGAGCCCAGAGTGAAAGATGGAGTGGATCACTCCATAATGCCCTGTTCTATACATTCCCCCTGGAGCTCAGGTAAAGGTCACTGTTGAAGACAGGTTACTAAGCAAAATGGACCATGTCTGACCTAGTATGACTGCTTCCATGTGAGAGAGACAGGATAGGTGAGGTAATACCTTTTATTGGACCAGCTTCTAATAGTGAAAAGGATAAGCTTTCAAACAACACAGAAGCTATGTCTACACAGCATTTAAAAATGGCGCCAGCCGGCTTCATGCAAATGAAGCCCGGGAAATTCAAATCCCGGGCTTCATTTGCAACTGCGGATGACTACATTACCCCCGCTAGTTCGAACTAGCGGGGTAGTGTAGACATACCCAGAGTTCTTCCTCAGGCCTGGAGTAAGTAACAGAGTCTGAGCTAAGCATAAGAGGTCTGACACATGCTGCAGAAGACCACTTAAACTTAAGTGGGCAATTAAGGATTAGCTGGCAGGAACATATGTGACAGTTTGCTGTAGACAAAAAGAACAGTACTTTTGTTTTTAGTGTTGAGAAGAGTTAGAAATTTAAGTTCCCAAGCTTGTCTTTAAATGCTGTTCTGCAGGCTTCCTCTGAGGACAGGTCAGATCTGGAGTAATTGCTTTAAGTGATACAAGGTTTTTGTCTTACCATTTTTCTATTAGAATTCATTTGACAAATTACATCATGGAACAGATCACCCAAATACCTCTGAACTTTCTGCAGCACAAAAAACAACAAACCCACTGACAGCACATCCTTAGTTGTCATCTACCACTCCACAATGGAACCCACACAGATAACATTAAACAAACATAATCCATATTTGATGGGAACTAGTGATGTAAAGGGTTAACCGGAAGGGGGCGGGGGGCTGGAGCAGCTCCTCGCCCACCATGGCAAAGGGTTGCTTCAGGCCTGGGTACATCGCAAGCAGAGGCTGCTCTGGTCGCCCTTGCCTGTGGCAAGTGGGCTGCAGGTAGGGAATGCTCTGGCTGGGCTGGAGCAGGCCCTGTCTGTGACAGGGGGAGGGGAGCACTCCAGCAGGCTCCCCTGCCTACTTCCTCTTTAATCGGTTAACCTGTTAAACATTAAACGTGATTTTACATCCCTAATGGGGACCACACAGTGAAAGAAATATTTACCAAATATCCTCTTCTGGCCTTTAAACACCACCCAACCACACCTAGCTCATCAGAAGCTCCCCTGCCCACAGGCCAAGACACAGTAACTCAAAGCAGTATGAGACCATACCAAAACAGATGCAAGCATGCAGACATATCTCCACAGCTACAATGTTCAATACCCCCAACAAATCAGTTTCACACATACAGAATGGGAAGCGACTGTAGGAAGGAGTACAGCAGAAAGAGATCTAGGGGTTATAGTGGACCACAAGCTGAATATGAGTCAGCAGTGTGATACTGTTGCAAAAAAAGCAAACATGATTCTGGGGTGCATTAACAGGTGTGTTGTGAGCAAGACACGAGAAGTCATTCTTCCGCTCTACTCTGCGCTGCTTAGGCCTCAGTTGGAGTATTGTGTCCAGTTCTGGGCACCACATTTCAAGAAAGATATGGAGAAATTGGAGAGGATCCAGAGAAGAGCAACAAGAATGATTAAAGGTCTAGAGAACATGACCTATGAAGGAAGGCTGAAAGAATTGGGTTTGTTTAGTTTAGAAAAGAGAAGATTGGAGGGGGGACATGATAGCCATTTTCAGGTATCTAAAAGGGTGTCATAAGGAGGAGGGAGAATACTTGTTCATCTTGGCATCTGAGGATAGAACAAGACACAATGGGCTTAAACTGCAGCAAGGGAGGTTTAGGTTGGACATTAGGAAAAAGTTCCTAACTGTCAGGGTAGTCAAACACTGGAATAAACTGCCCAAGGAGGTTGTGGAATCCCCATCTCTGGAGATATTTAAGAGTAGGTTAGATAAATGTCTATCAGGGATGGTCTAGACAGTATTTGGTCCTGCCATGAGGGCAGGGGACTGGACTCGATGACCTCTCGAGGTCCCTTCCAATCCGAGGATTCTAAGATTCTATGAAATGCACCTTTCAAGACGAAGGAGTCTAACGCATCAAGTGCACCAAATGCCCCAACCACCAAGTGTTGAAAACGCATAATCCATATGCTCTTGAATGAACTTCCATGGAAAAATTATAATTTAAAAAACCCCAAGAACATTTTTTACAAAAAAGTCTAACCTCTCAGTTCCCCCTCTCAAAGAAAACCTGCATAATACCTTCAAAAAATGAGCCCAGGATCTTAAATTCGTAAGTCATCTCAACATTAAAAACCATGCACTTAACAAGACTTACCCGTTGTCACACCTTGTATTCAGTTCAGATACAATGGCTACCTTCTCAAGTCCTGAGGAAGATATGTCTGTAGCTTGAAGCTGTCTCTTACACCAGCAGAAATTGATCCAATAAAAGATACTGCCTAACCTACCTTGCCTCTCTGTTTTCACTTTCTTATTCTATTATTCCCCAGCCTTCGACTCAGCTTACAATGGGTAAAGAAAATAGCCTCGCCAATGTAGTGAAGGTAGCCTCAGAATGAGCTCTTATAAAATGATTAGCACCAACGTCTGGTGACAAAATCGAGAGAATACACATGCCTCTGATCAGTGAATAAGTATACAGTTTAAACAGATGTCAGCTAGCATACAAAAGGTTAGTGAGTCTACATGCTGCAGGGGGAATTTCAATATTGCTGGAGCTTCCAAGTGATCTTTTTACTCACTTGCAGAGATTACATACAGACCTATCAAAAAGGTTCTGTTTTATTAGGGTCTTCCAGATGACGCTAGTGTTTGTTTTAGTTACTGATTTTTTTTTTTTTAATTTCCAGTGATGTAACTTCCGTTAAACAGTACAATAGAAACATCTCAGTCAAATAGTAAAGAAAAAACACACACCTTACTTTTCAGATTCACTATTAATTGCTCATCTTCAAAGACAAAGTGATTGATTTATTTTAAATGCAGTTAGAGAACATGCTAGCAAAATACTTGAAGTATACATACTATATATCCCCAGTGATAGTCCTGGAGATACACACAGTACTATACATGGTGCCATTATATTCAATTCAAAGACGCATAGCGTATCAGTAATCTCAAAAAGTTATTCCTATTTTATAATGAGAAAAAACAAACAATGACTGGTAAAATCTGCACTGGAAACAGCTATATGCACATCCAAAGACTAAATTTTGTCCTTACTTAGGCTATACCGATGGATGTTATGCCTCCTATAATACTCTTTAGCCTTACAGATGCTCTGTATTTATTAATGTTTATGATTCGCTATCTGTAATACAGCATAACTTCCACTATGGAATACGTTGACTGATATCAACAAGAGTTACATCAGGGATGATTATAGCCCACTGCCTCCACAAATTCTATACAGTTATCAAAACAAACGGCAGATAAGCTTCTGATTGTCCAGATTCAATCCACGTTGCTTTTTAGATTTGTCACTATGATTAAATGCAATAAACAAAATAGCTAACCTGTTCACTTTGGATGACTTCACAAATACATGGTTTACAAAACACATGTGCGCAGTGTGTTATCACAGGAAGATTCAGAGAATCCAAGCAAATTGCACATTCTTCATCTGAGCCAGAGCTCAGAATTAATTTCATTTTATTTACTAACTTCTCACGTAATTCTTCAGGAGTACTATTGCCTAATATATAAAGAAAATAAAAGTTTTGTAAAACTAAAAATCATTTTACACATGGAGCCAGATCATCGGCATAGTTCCTTTGAATCCAACCAAACCATGCTGATTTACACAACGTGAGGATCTGGCCTAAGATTCATTAAAAAAAAAAAAAAAAAAGTAAAAATGGCAGAAAGTAATACAGCATTATTCTTGATCAAACAGAAAACATTAAGAATAGTCGAGTCACCTCAGAATAAACTTAAGATATCCTAAGTACACACTGGTCAGTACATGATGCAACATGCTCAGTGACAGTAGGAAAAAGAGCATCATTTATGGAACAGCAGTTTTCAACAATGAGTCTATTATTGAGATGTTGGTAGCTACTCCATAGTTGAGACTGCACTGTGATTTATGCTTAAAAGGAGGAACAAACCCATCTGTTTCACACTAATTGAATGGAATCCACAAATTTAACACAGTAGAACTCTATATGGAAAATTCATGTCCTATGATTTTTTTTTCAGGAATAATGTTTAGCATCATTTTAAAATGCTCTTTGAACTTTTGGCCCACTTACTCAAATTTCTTTTTTTCCAGAAGTTCAAAACTCTTCCTACTGATCCAGATGACACCTCAGATGCAATTTTGAAATTTTAGAACTGATCATCAAAAGATATTTTTATATTCAGGATATTTTAAACTGGACTGTGCTAAAAGCAGTTAAGGGACCTATTCAAATCCAGCAGCTACTTTCCATTTTCTGAAGTTACAGGGGCATCTGCCTCTATAGTGGAGCTAAACACTTTTGGCAAAAGATCATGGGGAAAGAAAAACCCACAGCTTGCAACTCCACTGCAGAAGCAGTTGCTACTTTTGATACAGCTACAGAGCTGTCCCCATACCTCATTCATCCTCTTGTCCTCAGAAGGGGAGAAATAGGGCCAAGACAGACCTACCTTAATGAACTTTCAATGGCTCAGCAGAGCAGAGCCGTGCTCTGATAAGCCTCCTACAGTGCACTATACAAGAGCTTGATTTTGGCTACCTATCTTTGTGACAGCAGAGCTGTCAGATTCTCCATGACCCTCTATACTGTCTACATATTAAAAGCAGAATATAGTAGGAAACGAGGACACGATGGCTAGAGCAGAGAGAGCAATTCAGGCTTTGAAGGGTACTGGGGAGGAGGAGGCCAGGATTGGGAGCAATGCATACAGATGGAGGCAGGAGAGACAGTTATGGGAAACATCAGGCCTTTACAAAGGACATAGAGGAGATAATATGTATTAATGCTGAATAGCTAATCACAAAGCTGTCAACACCAATACATACTCATTAAATCCTGGTAAATTCCCCTACCATAAAAAATAATGAGTAGTCTTGTGGCTCCTTAGAGATTAACAAAAATATGGTGCTACAGGACTAATCATTGTTTTTAAAGTTACAGACTAACATGGCTACATGTCCCATCCGAGACAAAAAACAAAACGTACCTTAAAAGTTAAGTTTGCTAGACTGTACATCCAAATGCTTACAAAAAGCAAAGAAATATGCAGGTAAGCCATTCAACATCCTCCTATTATCTACATGCTACCCCTCATACTATATACATGGGTCTATTTTCATCCTTCAATCAACATGTAGTTAAGGAGATATTTAAGGATGACAATGGGAACCAATGAGTGAACTGTAGATGGATTGTTGAATTACTTAGATGGATATTTTCTTCTTTTCTGTGGGCTTGCCTTTGGTGGTATATGAAGATAGCATATATAAGTTAAGGAGAGAGGGCAAGGGGGTATGTTTTAAAGATCAATCTAAAATTCAAAATACTGTAGGTAGAACACATCAATATAGTCAATCACAGGGTAAATGTTTTTGTCTGTAATACAGCAGGTAACAAAAAGCCTACCGGTAATATTTCTACTCTTGGAACTTAAATGTAAATGCTGTTACAATTTTTAGAATGATATACAGAAAATACACCTCTCACCTATTTGAAAACTAGAAGATGATGCATTTGTGCAAAGATGAGGATGACAACACAGCTGCCTCAATCTGAGCAAGACACCAAGGACATCTGCATAATGTGCCAGAATAGTTCCTTCATTAAAATACCTGAAGAACAATTTTAATATTACAGTGTGTAAAACACACGGTCTCAACATATGAAATCAGTGATAATAAATTGTGTCCTATTCTTAGTCACTTTTACTTGTTTTTCATGCAAAGCATGCCTTTTCAGCATGTTATTTTATTTTTATGCATGCACACCAAATGGAAAAACTGGAGGACTACCATTTACCCTAACAGTGGTGTCCTGAACATTAGGGATATCCCTGAATCTGACCCAGACTTTCATGACATGGTAGCCAATTGCACTCTATACTTTCACTCACAGAAACTAAGGACTTCTGAATGTTTGAATAGTCTCAGCTATTTTTTATTGTGTAGATTTTCAGAGAGGTGAATGAACTTTTAATAATCTATTTTACATTGGCCCTGGTTCTCCCACTCATCCACTCAACGTAACTTCACTGAAGTAAGTGGGCTTGCACCAGGTGAATTTGGGTCACCAGCTAATATAAATCACGTCTGAAACCTCATGCAGTGCTTTGAAAAAATGACTGTTCTTTTTTAGGTGGGTGTGCAACTGCTTGTGTCTTTACTTTTGTTAAAGTTGTGAAACACAAAAACAAACACTAAGACTCATTTAATTCTACTTTTCTCCTGAAATACTGAGAGCGAATTAGGAATTTAAGTGAGTAGTCAAGTAATCAACTACTCAATAAGCCTAAACCTATCAGGAAGTCGAGTAATCGACCACTCGCTCATACAGAAGTGGCAATGGGGGGAGGGGCGGCGGAAACAGAAGCCGGTGTTGGGGAAGCTTACCCCAGCACCATCTCCCCAGTGCCACCTCCTCCCCCAACCTGCAGCAGAGGCTTCTCCAGCAGCAGCACCTGTCCGTGGCCAGCCCCGGATGCCAAAACAGGGACTGCTGCTAAAGCAGCCTCTGACCGCGGCCAGCCTGGGCCACCAGGGACAGTGGCTGCTGGACCTGGCGCAAGCCAGGACCGATCTGAGCCATCCCAGCTCACGCCAGTCAAAGACTGCTGCACCTCTGCGTTTTAAATGTAGTAAGAGCAGCCAACAGGAGCTGCACTGATTGCCCACCAGGGACCTACCATGGTGAACCACATCTAACCTGTGAGCTGCTTATTGCCCACTCCTGTGCTAGAATATTCTTCATATTCTTCCTCATGCTAACAACTGAACAAATCAACAGTCATTGGCAATTATTCATTTAGGGCATACTAAGAGTGAAAATCATGGGGATGGGGGGGGAGAGCGAGTTTGGTCTGCTTTAGATTAGGGATGTGAACAGATAACTGGTTAATGAGTACCCAGGAATAGCTCACAACAGGCAGAGGGCTGCTCTAAGAGCAGGGAGTGAAGGGGGGCTTGTAGCAGGATCCCGTTTAATTAGTTAACCGGTTAAACCTAAGGTTTAACTAATTAACTGGATTAACTGTGATTTTACAACCCTACTTTAGTTACATTTTGCTATTACAGCTGGAGCAGTAGTTTTCAGAAGTCAGACTAAAAAAAGAACAGATAACTCTAATAATAACTGCACAGTTTAGTTTCTATCTACCTGCTAATAGCAGCTTTGCCTTCATTCTTCACAGACTGATAGATTTTTCTCTCTTCTTCTGTAAGTGTAACATACTGAATGAATACCTTACGTTCCGGTAATTCCAAAACAGGCTTTCCATTAATTTTGCTTGTTTTTGTTCTTCTCAGAGTGATGTTTTTAATTAGGGACTGTAAACGCCTAGAAAGACACATGAACCAGTATTTAGTAAAACAAACTAACAACAAAATTTTGTACACTGTCAGCAACCTTTTCAAACCAAAGAGCCAAACTACATAAAAATTCACAACAAGTGGTCAACAGAGAGCTGTATAAGAATGCCCATTTGCAGGGCTGAAAATATACTATGTAATATTATTGATAACTGATAAAGATTAATAATAATATAAATGAAACATTTACTCACAGCCTTTATTTAATGGGACTTCTGCTGCTAAATCTTTTCACACATTTCTTTGAAATTTACATCATAACTGGTTAAATCCAACTTTATGCATGCAATCAGGCTGTCTTCTGTCAATCTTATGGCAGGGGGCTGGTGACGCGGGGGTGCAGAAATCTTGGTTGGGATGTACGAGAGGCTCAAGGCAGGAGACTGGGGTGTATGGACAGACTCAGGGCACAAGGTTGGGGTGTGTAGAGGGGCAGGAGTGTTATGGCATGGATCTGGGGATGTGGAGGTGCAGGACTATGAGGATGTGGCGATATTAGGGGCTCAAGGCAGGGGGTTCAGGTGTATGATGGGCTCACGGTTGGGGGAGGGTTTGCAGGAGTGTTGTGATGCTGTGTCCAGATGAGGGCTGGGCCCCAACTGGGGGCTCTTGGCCAGGCTTCATTTTTAAATAAAGTAAAATATTATGTCCAACACAAAATGTTTCAGTGTTGTTTTAATTTATGGCAGGAGTGGGGAACCTTTTTTGTGGACCACTGACACACAGAAAAATCAGTCGGGGACCACACAAGTGAGAAGCAAAAAGAAAAAAACATCTCCAAAAATCCCCAATCCTCACAGATGTGACCTCTAGCTCAAACACCTCACTCCCCTGGTGCTCCAGATCCATAGTGGGGGGGACGGGCAGGGAAGACTGAGGTTCAAGGCCTCAGGCCCTATTTTCTCTTGTGGTTTCAAGGTTAGTGGATTTTGTGGGGCCCCCTAGAAGGGGATAAATGGGTGGGGTCTGGCCAGAGGGCAGGAGCAGGCTGGGAGGCTGGCTGCCCGGCCGGGGGGGATTCTGGCCAGAGGGCAGAGAGCAAGGGGGATTTGGGGCAGGTGACTGGGGATGTCTGGTCTAGGGTTGCCAGGTGTCTGGTACTGAACCGGACAGTCCGTTATTTTCGCCTCCTGTCTGGCAAAAAAATTCTGAAAATACTGGTCACCTGAAATGTCCAGTACTTACTGATTTTTTTCCTGGCCAGAAGGCGAAAATCCCAAGCAGTTTGGCTCAATACAGAGGCAGCCTGGCAACCCTAGTGCTGTCCAGCCCAGCGCAGGGAGGCAAGACGGCAGGCAGCCACCGGCAGCCTGTTAGGGCCAAAAAGCCTCACCACGCAGTTTTTAAAGGGACCACAGTGTTTTGTATTGTTTTGCTTAACAACTCTCGGGGTCCTTTTTTCTTTTTGCTCAACAAACTTTTTCCTGGCTTTTTTTTGTTGTTGTTGTTGGTTTGATATTTTTTCTGAAACCATCTGGCAACCCTAGGGACCGGGGGGAGGAGGGAGAGGAAATGAGGGCATTGGGGTCTTAGCATAAAGGTGTGGGGAGGTGCTTACTTTTTTTCACACTGCGTGGCAGGCACTGTGTAATATACCTCCTGCTGCTCCCATTTCCTGGAAGCCTCCAGAAAAAATATGCATGGGAAGCCTCCAGGGAAGTGTTTCCCAGGGGACAAAAACGGCCAGTGTACATGGAGCCATTTTGGCTGCTTGTTTCCTGCATGTGAGGGAAGGAAAAGAGCTGCACACCGAGACTTTTTTTGCTCTGCTTGTTCTCTGCATGGCAGATGGGGGGGAAGGGGTTCGGGGCTCTCTTCTCTCCCACAGGAAGCCAGAACTGGCATTCTAATCATGCCAGGGGCTGTAAGGCTGTAGCACCAGTGCTGGCTCCCTGCTGCGGAGGGAGCAAGGAGGGACTGAGTTGGGTTCCAGAAGAGCCATATCTGGCTCCCTAGTGAGCCATAGGTTGCCGGCCCCTGGTATGACTGATTCTTATGCATAAAATTTGAGTTTGATAATACACTATACTGCACTAATATTAAGCTATATATAATATATTACATTTTACAACCAAAGTATAAATAAATCTCATGAACCAAAAATGCACATAATGTTTAAATTAGGGACGTGAAAGGTTAACCAGTTAATGGGTTAACCAGTAAGCATCACCCTTAATGGGTGATGCTTACCTGTTCTGGTGATCTGGTGAGGGGGCCTGCAGCAGAGAGGTCAACCCTCCCTTTAATCGGTTAACGGATTAAACATGCTATTTAACTGGTTAGCCAATTCAACGGGAATTTACACCCCTAGTTTAAGCTAAGTACAAATGCATAATGCCATGAGAGCAGGGGACTGGACTTGACCTCTCAAGGTCCCCTCCAGTTCTAGTATTCTAGGATTATATAAGTCTGTCATAATGCGTTAACAATCAACTATCACATTTACTATCCGCAAACATTTTGGAAGCTCTTCATACCTGAGTCCCCCTTGCTCTCCCAGCATGACAGGGCGCTGGATTGTTCTGTGCCACCACTCTCGATCAGTAAAAGGTTTCAGTTTTAAAAAGGAAAGAAGAGACCACAAATCCTTTAAGGAATTCTGGATAGGAGTGCCTAAAATAAGAAAAAAAGAATCCAGAAAATCTTAAGAGCCAAACATACAAATTTGATTAAAAGAAGTAGTCCACCCTTCCCCCTCCACAAGGGGCAAGGTTTTAAAACACAGAGCACAGATTATTGTTTTTTCAAGATTGAGCCATGGATCCACTATGTGAAATAAAGTACTGGTTTTCACAAAGAAGGCAATGTTACACTAGCATACACATTTCCAAAGGAGTCTTTCTGAAGCTATTTTAAAATATAGTAGGACTCCTTTGGAAATGTGTTTCTGAAGCTATTTTAAAATATAGTAGTTTTCCCACACAGTTTCACTTAAATAGAAAAGGCATAATTGAGGAAGAGCTACAACTAGCTAACAAAGATTCTAACCCATATATAATAATGGGACAACACATTAAAATCACTCAGATAACACACACAAGGAAAATGCAAGAGCTATCATAAAAAAGGGTTAGAACTTGGTTATTTCTTTAAGATCATTTCATCTCTTTACAATGAAATTTTAAATACACCCTAACAGCTCATGATAAAAAAAGACTAATTCTCTGTCCAAAGTGGCAGTCTCAGCATCTACTCTAGAAAACCTCTGAAGTAGACCGACAATTGGCTGAAACTATGTTTGAAACTTAGAAGAAACTGGTGGTTTGAGAGTCAGGGGAATTCTAGATCACAGCAGTTTTGACACAAAAGTACTTGTTTATTAAGACTGATAGACATACAATGTTACTGAATGTGTGTTCCTTTTTCATAGATTATGATAATCTAGTCTCAGAGCTCTCATTTTTAGTCCAGTCACATTACAAACTCTCTAGGCTTTTTTTTTTTTAAATAGTTTTCAGAACAAAGTTTCAGTGCCTCACCCCTCCTTACAAGACATGCAATTTGCTGTAGTAGGAATTCAAAAACAAAATACAACATAACTATACACAATGGTTTAAGTAAAGAAAAGCAAGTATAGTGAAAGTTTTCCGTTTCTAGGATTATTTTTAAAACAAGCAAGTTTTAAATATTGAAGAATTCATACTAGTTGCATGCAAATCTGAAAAAAATGTAGTCAAAGTCATCTCCAACAATATTTTCTGTCAGATGAAAAGATAGCTTCAGCCCAAACTGAACACAAAGTACCAGAAAACAAAAAACACTCTTAAAAAAATTTGCATATCAATTTTTCTTAAGAAGATAAATGAATAACATGACTGAGTCTTCTTTTTCTAAGAGAAATACTTCAAAACACTCTGAAATGTGAGACTTGTGAGAAATCTATACTTTGCAAACACTACAGAAACTTGAAGGCTGATCTTGTGAACTGATACTAGGAATGTCGAAGAAGAAACTTTTGGCCTAGGAAAGAGAATGAGAAAGATCACAGTCTGGTGCTTAGGGCATTCATGATGTGGGAGACCCAAGTTCAAGTTCCTGCTGGAATGATTTTCTGAATGTATAGAAAGTAGAACAGGAGAAAGAGCAAGAACCAAACCAGAATCTCTCATAGCCCAACGTTAGGGCACAATCCTGTAATGAGAGACAAGGAAGACACCCAAATGTACAAAAATTAAAAAAAAAAAATCATTGACTTTTTCCTGCAGCCAGAAATGTACAAAATTTTTTTTAAAAAAATCATTGACTTTTTCCTGCAGCCAAAAAGGTAAACATGTGGTTTGGTGCATCAATCACTCACTACTTTGCTGATAATTTAAACTGCAGTTGAAATAATAACATTATTTTAAATAGTTTAGTTTAATTTGGTTGCATTCTCATCAACTTTTATAAAGATGATATGAGCAGCCATTAAGTCAAGCACACGCTTAAATGTTGTCCTGAATAAGGATATTTTCCTGAATTAGGGATGAAAGCGACTAGTCAACTATCTGATATGCAAAAGCTCGACTAGTCACTTCCTCCTACCCTTGCTGCTTCTAGCAGAGACAGCGGGAGGCTGGGAGCTAGAGCCAGTGCTGGGGGGAGATGGCTTAAAACCAAGTTTCCCCCCCAACACTATCTTCGCGAGGGGGCAGGGAGTAGCAGCTCTGCCTTTTAAATGTATTAAGAGCCTGTCAGCTCTTAATACATTAAAAAAGCTAAAGTGCAGCAGGAGGGACCCAGTGCAAGCTGGGACAGCTGATTTAAAACACTGGTATGCAGGGGTAGGGGAACCTGCACGAGCCAGGAATCAACTGTCCCAGCTCTCATTGGACCCATCTTACAGCGCTTTTGTCTTTTAAATGTATTCAGAGCCAAAAGGCTCTGAATACAATTAAAAGGCAAAGCCGCAGCAGAGTTAGCTCATGGCCTAGGAGCTAACTGCGCTGCAGCTCTCCCGTTTATTGACTAATCCATCGACTAGTCAATTAGTTGGTTAAACTAAATTTAACAATCTTATCCTCAATCAAGGCCTAAATTAACAAAACACCTGGGTTTCAAAGAAATTCAACATGTGGTTTGGTGCATCAGTCACTCACTACTTTGCTGATAATTTAAACTGCAGTTGAAATAATAACATTATTTTAAATAGTTTAGTTTAATTTGGTTGCATTCTCATCAACTTTTATAAAGATGATATGAGCAGCCATTTTCGATTTATTTCTAATTCGGTACTGAGGACCTATGAAAAACTCTGTCATTACTTTTTCAAAACTGTTTTAAGATCTTTATCTTGAACGAAGATTAATTTAAGAATATTCCAAAATAAGTCTGAACTTAGAGCCCAACAGCCAACATAAATGTTAGGTTTTCTGAATAAAGACAAAACGAAAATATTTCTTTAAAAATACAGTGTCATTGTAATACAAAAACAAAAATAATGCTTAACACTACAATTACAGCAGTGTAAAACATTTCACCTGTCAGTATCCATCTCCTCTGTGCCTCCAGATTTAACGCAGCTTTAGTCAGCTGAGCATTTGGATTTCGAATAGTGTGCCCCTCATCCAACACCACTCTCAGCCACTTTAATCTGTGTAACAGGCTATCAGTTCTGCTCTGAAATACAGGATCAAAAATAAAATTGTAACTCAAACAAATAGATATGTTTGCAATTATGATAAATAGAGCTATAGACTTAACAGACATAGCAGAAGTGAGGTAGATTCATTAGGACAGATTACTAATACATGAAAGCATATTCATTTTTAATCTTGGTTACTCAACAACAAAAAATAATAAAACCAGTAATGTGAAGAACCCCATCTCTTGGATTTAAAGAAGCCTTGGAAATGTACATCAAGTTCTTGGGACTAAGAGGATGCAAAAGGGAGACCAGAGTAATAACACGGAAGCCAGATCAGACAACAGAAGAGTGGGAAGCATGCTACATGATAATAAATTAAATAGGAGGGGACATTTCAAAGATCTGATACTAAATCCTTTTTTTTTTTTTTTTTTTTTTTTTGAAAGAGACTTGAGATTTGCAGGAAAATTAAGCTAAGCAAATCACATTCCCTTATTCAGGAAACCATTACACTCCTCAAGGAAAAAAAAATCAGTTTTTACATATATTCATTGACTGTGCAACTAAAAAGCTTTACTGAAGCACCATGGCGATGTAATAGAAAATAGCAGGCAGGGTTGGAACGATCTCTGCAGTGGATCTAACAGAGTAACTAATAGCAGTAAAAGGTGTTAATCCTTAGTGTGGATCTACACTAGAAAGGAATGGGACACTATGCCAGAGTGTTTAGCAGATTTTTTGTTGACATCTGAGGAAAAGTGAGACTCGGGAACTTTGAGTTTCATTTATTACGCTATATAATAAAGCACAGCACACCACTTCTGCCAATCTCCCCCCACCTTTCAAGCTCAACATCTTATTTTCTGTCCCAATCCTATGGCCCTAACATCATGGCTATTTATCCCAGTCCCACTTCCCTTGTCTATCCTATTCCAAACCCCTTGCCCAGAAAATCCTTGCCTCATCCATCAGGACTCCCCCATCGGTTATTTGTCCCTACTTTCATCCCTCTGCTCAACCCTAGTTTCCATCCATTCTCCAGCTTCCTGTCCCCACTCTCCTTACTCACATAGTCCTCCGTCTTTCTCCCCAGGGCCGTGTCCAGACTCAGGGTTTTTTTCGGGAAAAGTAGCCTTTTCCCGAAAAAACTTCCCCTGCGTCCAGACTCAAGCCGCGTTCTTTCGAAATTATTTCGAAAGAACGCGGCTTTTCTTTTGATGGCGGTAAACCTCGTTTCACGAGGAAGAACGCCTTCTTTCGAAAGTTCCTCTTTCGAAAGAAGGCGTTCTTCAATGTAAAGAGGCCGTCTTCGAAAGAGAGCATCCAGACTCGCTGGGTGCTCTCTTTCGAAAAAGCGGATTTCTCTTTCGAAAGATCCGCCTGCAGTCTAGACGCGATCTTTTGAAAGAGGCTCTTTCGAAAGATGCTTTCGAAAGAGCCTCTTTCGAAAGAAGCCTGCAGTCTAGACATAGCCCAAGTCTCCAAATGCTCTCCACTTATATTCCCCATCCTGACTACCCTCCAGAGCTCCTCCTTCCATCTCAGTGTCCCACACTACCTCCAGCCCTTTGTCCTAAGTCTCTTTGTCCAGCCAGTCTTGTTCTATCTTTGCCCTCTGTTCCCCCTACCTTATTACCTTCCCACATTGCAAAAGCGGCGAGGAGTCCTGTGGCACCTTATAGACTAACCGGAGTGTTGGACCATAAGCTTTCATGGGCAAAGACCCACTTCGTCAGACCAACACTCTGGTTAGTCTATAAGGTGCCACAGGACTCCTCGCCGCTTTTGTTGGCTCTAAATCCCAGTCTCTGCCTCAAGCTCTTCATCCAGTCTCAATCTCTATCCACACCTTTACCTGCTGCTTCTTAATCCATCTGCCTCTTCTCCTACTAGTCCCTGTCTCTTTGCCCAGCTAGTCCCAAACTCCCACCCCAATGTTTGCCTCCTCTACAGCTGCCTGTGTTCTAACCTGCTCTCCATCCATCTGAATCAGGCAACTTCCTCCTCCATGCTGCCAAGGGTTTGCGGGATCACTGACTACTGAAGATACATACTTGCTTTCTAAGACCCAGCACAGTCCACAACTACCCAGAACTAAAAATATAAGGAAAATCCTGTGCAGCCCCAGCTTAGATCAAGCACAATGCAATAAGAATCTGTGGGGAAATTGTCTGTTGAAAAAAAATCAAAGTGCCTATTAAGCCAGAGGTCGGCAACCTTTTCAAACTAAATAGCCAAACTACATCAAAATTCACAACAAGTGGTCAACAAAGAACCATATAAGAATGCTCATTTGCATGACTGAAAATATACATCTTAATATTATTGATAATTGACATAATGATTAATAATAGCATCAATGAAACATTGGAATGTGAGAAAAGATGCAGCAGCAGTTTACATCATAATTGGTCAAATCCAGCTTCTTGCATGTATTCAGGCTGACTTCTGTCAATCTTATGATGGAGGCTGGGGACGTGGGGGTGCAGGAGTTTGGATTATCACAGGTTTGAGGTGTGTGGGTGACACTGGAGTGTTATGGCAGGAACTGGGGATGTGGGGGTAAGAGGGGTCCAGGCAGGGGGTTCTGGTGTATGATGGGCTCAGGGCTGGGATGGGAGGGTGCAGGAGTGTTCTGATGCTGTAGCCAGATGGGGTCAATTATTATGCCCAACACAAGAGGTTTCAACATTGTCTTTATTGATGGCAGAGATGGGGAACCTTTTTTGGGCTGGGGGGGGTCACTGTGCCAGAGAAAAATCAGTTGGTAACCACACAAGTGAGTTGCAAAAAAACAACCCCTCCTGCAACCTCCCACCCTCACTGATGTGGCCCCCAACTGACACACTTCTCTCCCCTGGTACTCCAGCCTCATTGGGTAGGGTGAAGCGCAGGGAGGACTGAGGTTCAAGGTCTCAGGCCAAGTTAATTCTTCTGGGGTTCCAGGGTTAGTGGATTTTGCGGGCTCTCCCCCCAGGCTCTGGGGTGGGGCCAAAAATGCGGGGTTAAGTGTGTGGGACAGAGCTGCCAGTGAGTGGGATAGAGATGGGGTACAGAATCTGGGTGGGAGGTAGAGTGTAGGAGCAAACTGGGGGTATGTGTCTGGCCAGGGGAGCGAGGGGGCAGGAGCAGGCTGCTGGTGGGTGTCTGGCCAAGGGTTTGGACTGTGACCTAGAGGAGGGGACTGCGGTGCAGTTAGGGTTGCCAGGTGTCCAGTTTTCACCCCGACAGTCCGGTATTTGCGGGCTCCATCCGGTTTAAAAAAAAAAAAAAAAAAAAAAAAAAAAAAAAAAAACAAAGGGGGCATAAGGGGGCGCTTGCTGGGCACCACGCTAGTGGAGGGATGGGAGCGGAGCACACGCTGTTCTGGCCCATGTGACCAGCAGAGACCGGGAGCTGGCCACGTGATGCTTCCCTCTCTCTACAATGCAAGCCGAGGCAGCCAGGCCGGGCAGCAGGAGCAGCCACTTGAAAAGTCAGATTGTTCCTCCATGCCTGGATCTGCAGGGAGGGGGGACTGCACTGGAATGGGGGAACACTAAGGGAGCCTGGCTCTGAGGCAGGGGTGAGTGCATTGGGATGGGGAGACTGGGGGGCCTGGCTCAGGGGGAGGGGTGGTTGGTGAGTGGCCCCAAACTGGAGGGAGTGGGGCAACT